AGTTTATATTGCTGAAATTGCGCCATGGAGTATAAGGGGTCGTTTAGTCTCCGTCCACTATCTATTTCTGACGGGAGCGGAATTAACGGCTGCTATTATTGACGGTATATTTAGCCCTTACAAGAAGACAGGATGGAGGTAAAAAGATTTAGAATAATTTCTTTTGTCTTGTATGTTAACTTATTTAGATCACTTTCAACAAAATTTGGTCAACATTCAAATTTTTTATTTTTTTACTCTGTAGTCAAAGAAAGCAGTTAACTTTAATTTATCGAAAGAAAATCACAACATTTTGAAACGAACGCGAGATACGGCTGAAAGAGGAACCTGTGGCGAAGAGCGCAAGGGTTCTCCTGATTTTCGTAAAATAACGGAAATTAAGCTTCTCACTGGAATGTCAAAAAGTTGTAGAAAAATTGTCAAAACTTAGATAACTTAGATTAAAAGTTCAATTTTTCGTTATTCACAATAATTGCTAACATCGGTCAAGAAAAATTGATTGAAACTGGGTGTTATTAAACAGTCGATCAGCAGACCGCATAACCTGCGGAACCTGCGGAACCTGCGGAACCCATATTTTTGCAGTTTGAGAAAAGTAATGAGAAATACCTCTACTTAAACGAATTAACATAGGTATGTAGATTTGTTGGATTTTCATGAAAATTGGCTGAAATGTTCGTCAAATATTAACGCAGCAAATATTGTGAGGCATGACGAAAATCGAAATATTTCTCTTCAGACGTAGGATCATAACAACCAAAATATTTTCATTGTCCAACTTCCAAATAGTATTCTCAGGAACCGATAGGAACATCGAAAAAAGCCTCACACACTTTGTTAGACTACTTGCTGTTGAGTGAAACTGTTCAGTTTGTTTACTGGAGGTCCGCAGAAACGCTGAGGCCGATAATTTAGTTAGGCAAACACCGCTAGTTATGTTTTAATAATTGTAAAATCCTACATCCATTTGGTAGATTCATGTTTGGTTTAGCTGCACTTCCGTCAGCCATCATGTTCGTGGGTTGTCTGTGGCTTCCAGAAAGTCCTAGTTGGCTCGTCAGCCGGGGCGCCTGTGAACATGCAAGGGAAGTTCTTGTAAGGATCAGAGGAACGTCAGATGTAAACGAGGAGCTGCAAGCTGTAAAAAGCGTTTGTAAGGAACAAGAATCTTATGATGACAAAAGTAAGTTTCTCAATTATTGGAGGGTTGGGTTACTGATTGATACCTCTACACAAAGCGTAAAGCTCTTTCGAGTGGTTCGATTTGAGTTTGAACCCGATGTGATCCCGAGGCAATAATGAAGGGGATTCCGAGTGGGATCTAGGCGCGCGATTGATTGAGACGTGGCACGGGGGAGAATTCCGGCGTGATCCCGTGGTGGTCCTGCATGGGATCCCCACACTGTGCTCGAGTAAGTTCTGAGTGTGTTCATGTAAAGTATTTTTGTTGTTGTTCTGCTGTCAATGCAATGAAATTCTAGCATTCCGTTTTCTCATTTTCTTCAGTGGAAAATAGCGATCGCTGATCAAGTTTGTTATTAAAACCTGAACTTTGGAGACCCTTCACAGTGAGTTATTTGGTGTCACAGAAACGTTTTCTGCAAAATAAAAGGTTGTCATTGTTGTTTTTAGGCAGTTTTTATGAGATGTTGACCACTTCAAGTACAAGGAAGGCTCTTCTAGTTGGCTGTATGTTGGTATCAATGCAAGATCTGTCTGGGATTAATTTGATTCTGTAAGTGAAACGTTTTATTAGCTATGCAACTTGAAAGCCCAGATTATAGATCTCTGGGCGAGCCAGGCAGAGTGCGTGGCATAGCTTTGACTATAAGCTAAATGAAAAGGGCCTTTGTTGAGTTACCTTGTCAATCGTAAAGAATGCATTGCATCAAAATAACAGGTTAGTACGTAGAGATGCATTATCTCGTTAATATTTTCCACCCAACATCTTTTCATCACAAGTTTTGTTTTTTTTTTTAAACCGTTGAAAAGCCGTAAATTTTTGGCACGTTTGTCAGTTTGGGCTCAAACTTGGAGAATCTTCAAGTGTGATCTTACTCTTTCCATTATCGAGATCGATTTGGCGCCACAATCCTATTTATTTTCTGGTCGCTCTACCCCGGCGGCGGGCGGGGTACTTTTTAGTGATAAGCGAATGGGGCTGTGCTGCTTTATGAGGTCGCATTATCACGACTGGATTGACTATAGAACGGGCAAACTTTCAACGGAGTTATTAGAATGGAGTCGCACGCTTTTCGAGATCTTGGGGTAAGAAAATTCTGGCAAGAAGGGATTTAATCAATGCTCTGTGAGCAAACTAGTGAATTGACAGATGACTTACATGATTTTTTGGATTATGTTTAATGTTATCTGGTTTAGGGAATTTTGTGGTTGATTATCATATTTAGAGTACGAGAAGTAGTTCAGTGTTCACTAATGCAGCAAAGAAACAAAGTAACGTTAGGATAAGAAGGCATTACAATTGAAATGATCATGCTATTACATTTGACAAGGGTGGATGATGTCAGGTGTTTTAAACTGGTTCAAAAGAAAAGGTTGGAAGTAAATGTGGGTGAAAAGTGAAATTTATTGTCTCTCATTGGAAAATCAAGGCGGTACTGTCTTAATGAAAACATTAATTTCACATCGATCTCACATCGTAACAGAAAAAGCTTTTGAACATCTGTAAACTCCGAGCGCTTCCGAGTAAGTGATATTTTTAATGAATCTTGGGATTGTTTTCATGTTCAAGGATTGTAAATTACAATTTTATGAAAAACGAAGGTTGTCCTCTTATTTCAGAGTGAATCCTCGCACGCCTGCCAGTCGCTGACGCCGCTTGTTGAAACTAAAACGAAAAAAAATAAACTCTTTTAAGATTATCATTGGCTTCTTTTTCACCCCACCACTATTCTTAGCAACAAAGGCCACCATTTCATTTGCTTATTACTCGCCAAAAACTATCAAATGCACTCAAAAGCCTAAAATCGAGAAAAAGTTTACAGGAATCGACCAATCTAGCGAGCGAGTACCATTCTCACATCATATCTACAACTCGCTCTTGCGCATGCGCGCAATTCACGAGTTAAAAATGGGAAGACTTGCAGTTTTAAAGATGTTATGGTGTTTTGCTTTGATATTTAACAATCGGCTCGCATTATAGGATGGTCTACTTCTTTAGAAGGTAGAAGCATAAACAGAAAGGGTCTAGGCTGACATTGTGAAAATTGCATTTGCCCCAAAGTGACTAAGATGGGGTCTATGATCTGCTGAAGAGTAAATTATAGGGAGGAAGAATTTCTTAAAGGCCAACGGCACATACCCAGCAAAAATTGACCTACGTGCCCCCTACCCCTGGCCTTCACATCAATAATAAAATGAAATGTTGATAAAAGTGTGTTTTTGTTTCCAGATTCTACTGTGCAACTATTTTACAGATGTCAGGTGTACAGGGAGACCGACCGGCCCTCTGGCTTGCTGTGGTGATATATTTTGGTAATTTCACATTTCCCTTAGTTGGATTGTATCTGGTAGAGAAAGTAGGACGCCGTAAGCTACTATTAGGAAGTCTTGCGGGGGTCACTGTTTGCATGTTTCTCTGTGGTGGTGCATTTTACATGGCGAAGCAACACGATGCCGCGATAACCTTTAACGAGAGAGAGATTTCTAATATCAGCAACAATTGTCCTGCTACCGGATATTGCTTAGATTGCCTTGGAGTCCGAGAAAACTGTGGATTTTGTTATGCTCAAGACTCTTCCAATAATCCTATATATGGTTCTTGTGTTCCAATCAATCTATCTTCTAGCGAGAACACGGCCGCTTTTGGTAGATGCAGTCGCAAGGATCATTCAGTAACATGGTCGTACCAAGCTTGTCCTAACAAGTATGCGTGGTTAGCAACTTTTGCTCTTGTATTGTACATCGCCGCGTTCGGTCTGGGGATGGGGCCGCTGCCATGGACGATAAATTCTGAGATCTTCCCCCTATGGGCCCGTAGCACGGGGTATGGGTTTGCTACAGCTGTAAAATGGTCAACTAATTTGATGCTATCCATGACTTTCCTGTCTCTAACTGAATTGATTACGAGTTTCGGGGCGTTTTGGCTGTACGGGGGAATTTCGCTTCTGGGTTGGTTGTTTTTCTTTGCTTATCTTCCTGAGACGAAAAATAAATCGCTAGAGGAATTGGAACATTTGTTTTCATAGTATATGATAACATTTTAAATTTTGTCTAGTTAGTCAAATTAATTTTTTATCAGAGAACTCAGAAGTAGCTGCAAAAGGGAAGTACCATCCAGTAGTAGAGGAGCAGAGATTGGAGATCGTTTTTTAGTGATGCGCAATAACTTAGATTTCTTTGTATTAAAGCTTATTTGCGTATGCACTGTTAGCTTTTGGTGACTAAAAATTTTGCTTGCTGATCGCCATACGTACCAAATGTAATTTAGCATGAGATGAAAATAAATAAAGATAGCGTGCTCTTTTATTCTTCACTTTTGAATTTTTTTCTTGGCGATGTTGTTACTACACTAGCTCAGTTGAACAAGTTCAAACAATGAATAACAAAATTTCTGGGATACGGGATGAGAAGAAGCCGAAAAAAAAAAAATAATAACGGAAGAGGAGGTTACGAACTTACGGCCTTCGCCTTTGATGGAAAAGCGGCTTTGGAAAGCGTTGTTCTGGAGTTTACCCGCCTGAAATTGGCGCGCTTGTTCTGATTACTCGAAAACCATTACACGCGAAAGAAAATAAGATAGCCATAATTCGTGGAAGTATTTTTACGAGCGTTTTTATTTTTATAGTTTTTGTTGCTTTTTGTGGTTGCAAAAGACTGGTTTGAAAAAACGTTAAAAATTTTGTGCCCTAAATGTTTCGTGAACTCTTTGCGGATTCAAGGTTCTCTGAATAGACTCCATGGAGTCAGCTGATCGATCTTGCCTCGATTTCATTATCGCTCGAAAAACGCGGGAAAATTGTGTCACGTGAACAGATCAGCCGGAGAAGACGACAGCATGGCGGTAAGTGAGCTGTTCATTGCAGAAAAAATTGATTTTACTTCGTTAAAGCAAAGCCTCCTTCTCTTGATTTACCGTCGATTTTCATTGCTTTTGCAATATAAAGTTCAGATATCTTAGTCTGTAACCACTTCGATCGTTGTTGAGACAGTTACCAAGCATGCTTTCTCCTTGCAGAATGAGTTCTATCGATCGATCATTCAAATTCACAACATGCGAAGACATGATCGATTACTTCAGAATTTAAATCTTTACAGCTTTTGATGTTGGCTACGTCCAACTTTCTATGATGAAATCGCTTTGTTAGAGAGTAAATGAGTCTGAAGTACACGAATTTTTCTTTACTAGGTCTTATTGTAGCGAGCGAATTGTACAAAATTTGTCGAGGCTTCATTTGTACGATTTCGCGCTCAAGTTGTCGTAGACCTTTGACAGATCTTTCCTTTTTGAAATTATTTTTCAAGAAAGAGAATCTTTGATTGAAATTTCAGATCATGTTTTTGAGTCGCGAGACAAATTATCTTCGTAAATTCAGATGAAAATGTTGGGAATCAGAAACGAGAGTTCGCGTATTTATCAGTATTTTTCTAAAACTCAATAGGAATCTTCAAGCAGTATTGGTGTACCCAGCAGTCCTCACAGAGCAGATGGCTTGACGTCAAGTCCAGGAAGGGATCTGCCACCGTTTGAAGATGAAACAGATGCAGTCCTTGGTAACGATGATGTGGGAGAGGAGGAAGAAGGGGAAGAATTGTTTGGTGATCGAATGGAACAGTAAGTTTCTTTGAACTTGTTTTAGAATTTTCACAGTTAGATCTGTTGATTTGAGTGGTAAGAATTTAATCCAGTACTGAGAGCCTTGCTAGATTTGACAGGATCGTGTGCAGTTAAGGGAAAATTCTAACCCTTTCACCCCAAGATTTAAATAGTAATTCTCTATACTGTTTGCCATAAATTACACCTTTTAAGAGGTTGAGATGTGAAAACTATTAATGCCATTTTTATTTCAATGAACAGAGATTACCGTCCAATTCCAGCCCTTGATGTCTATGATCCTGCTGCATTGGATGATGAGGACTTTGATGAGATGACACCAGAAGCTCGGCAGGAAGCTGAGCGTCTCATGAGGAAGAGGGACAGAGAAGAAGCTGCTGCAAGAGGAAGACTTCATAGGGGACTTCTTTATGGTATTTACTGAATATTTGATATTTTTGTTTATTTTGTAATAGAAGTAAAGTTTTGTCCTTACTTGTTTACAAAGGAGAGATTAAAATAGAACTTGTGAGATCTGGGTTTTGTTAAAAGCTCTTGCCATTGTCTGTTTAGCTGGTAAGCACTGTTTTTGATGCTAAAAACTGTATTTCTGAGCTTCTATATTTCAAATTTATTCCTGAGAGAGCATGCTTCCAGACACCCCCAAGGGGAGAAGGGTGAGGATTGTGGTCTTATGGCAATGGTCATAACTGACATTTTATGGCTCGCTCATCAAACATGTGTCACTCATAACATTAACTCATTTATAGATGAAACTGATGAAGAAGACGAGGAACAACCAAGACGCAGACGTAGACTTGCAGAAAGGGCTGCTGATGGTGACATGCAAGACGAAGATGAGGTACAGGGGATCAACACCTTACTAAAAATTATTTTTAGTTATAATTAAGTATTAGTAAAGTGGATTTGATGTAGCTTAGGAAGGGATATTTTTGTTTTTGCCTAACAAAAATCCCATGATATGTCTACTTAAACCTACAGACATCAAATGGAGGTTCTTGTAGTTCTGATTTTTGGTTAATCATTTTGTTTAATTGATGGTTATAATTTATCAACAAATCTACTCATGGCAAGCAGAATAATGCAAGTCAATCTGTGAGACTTAATTCATTTATCCATTACGCAAGATCAAGGCCATGTATGTCAGTCAGTCCAAGATTGCGTTGAAAAGCTAGAACAGTCTGGCTTCAGATCCACACCTGTGGGATACCATGAAAGCTACAGGACTAGCAGTTTCAAATGAATCTGTCAATGATAAAGTTGACCCATTTTTTGTTTTCATTTATCTCTTTATAGCTCATTGAAAGCATAGAAAACCTTGAAGACATGAAAGGACATTCTGTTCGCGAGTGGGTGTCCATGCAGGCTCCACGCCTTGAGATCAAGAACAGATTTAAACAGTTTCTGCGTTCCTTTGTTGATGACCAAGGAAAAAGTGTGTACAGAGAGAAAATTTCACAGATGTGTGAAGGTAATTGTGATCAATCCTTTCAGATCAAAATGCATAATCTCCATTCTGTTCTCTATATATTTGGCATGGCACTGATAATGAGAGGTTGTTTTAAAATCAAGACATTTTTAGTTGAGGATCATTTTCCTTATTCTCATGACCCTATTGTTTGACTCAGAGGTTTGACTGTATGGAGAAATTAGATGCTTGTCAATGGTATTGTTTGACTCAGAGGTTTGACTGTATGGAGAAATTAGATGCTTGTCAATGGTAGGCAGTTTAGACCATTTAAAGGTTAAGATAATATCTTCCTGTGCATAAAATGCTGCTTCACCTCTACAAAATAAACTAAACCTGAATCCTGTACCAATCCTTATTTTTGTGACCTGTTCACTTACACTTGTTATACAGAAGAAAATTATTGAAATTGTTAATGAACAGTTTGTGGTATAATACTATCACAGGGTTCAAAACCCAAAATAGTTTATATTCTTGAAGGAAATAAAGCATTCATGATGTTGATTTTTTAAGTCTTTTTTTGTCTGTAGCAAACAAACAAAGTCTTGTAATTGATTACAACATTCTTGCCAATGAGCAGCAAGTTCTGGCATACTTTCTTCCTGAAGCCCCATCTGAAGTCCTGCAAATCTTTGACGAGGTAAAATAAATGTTGTCATGATTGTATAGTTTGTTTGAATTTTCAGATTCATTACAGTCACTAGTGATAATTTTTAACCATTTCACTCTTAAGATCGCTTTAGTAATTCTCCTTACTGTCTACCATACAATTCTTATGATGTTTGTTCAGAGAACTTAGTATTTATCACTTGTCTGCTTGATATTGTATTAACTTGGCCATCCATGATAGTTAAAGGTTTAACTAAAGAAAATAGCTGCCTCTTATTTTCCTTGTAAATTAGTCAAGATAATTTTGAGTTAGAGATTCAGTCTCTAGCAGTTCAAAGTGGGTGTTGATCCATGCTCAAAACATTTTGAGTTTGTTTCAATCCAAGCTGGGTATGGTAATTATTTCAACATTGAATATTCAGGGTGCCAAAGAAGTGGTTCTTGCCATGTTTCCAAACTATGATCGTATAACAAGTGACATTCATGTGAGAATATCTGATCTTCCTTTGATGGAGGAACTTCGATCATTAAGGTATCAACAATTTTTTTGTTCTGTTTTGTTTTGGTTTTTCTTCTGGGAGAGGAGTCTTGTTTAATTAGCCTTATCTGTAATTTACAAGACTTGAATGTAAGATCTCAAACCTATAATAATAACTGTCAACTCAAGAGTTAAGGTGCTAGATTTAGGATAATCTGGTTTTATCAAATGAGTTGAAAATGTAAATCAGCCTCTGTAAAGAGTTATCCCTTTGCCAGAGGTAATGATGCCATTAATATCTGCCGTTAATGGTGGCCGATTTACTTTATCAACTCAGTTGATAAAACAAAATTGTTGTGTGATACCCCTCCCCCAATACAGCACCACAGTTTCTTCAGAAATTTACCCCCTTTTCTTCATTTGCTAGATTCAGGGCTGAGAGGTTTGGTATAAGTCCTTTGTTGTTTTTGCAGTTCTTTCTCCACTCAGGGTTATCCATGGTAAACCTGCAAAACAATCAGAAAAAAAAAAATTGACGGAATGGAATGGTTGGGGGAGGGGTGGGAGGGAAACGGTTGGTTTAACTGATCTAGTATATCACCCTGGAGTGATACACATATGAAATAAAATTTCAGTTAAGATGCTCAGCTCTTCAACCAGTCTTCAACATTTTGCAAGTGTTTTTTTTTCTTTTTTCCAGGCAACTACACGTGAACCAACTAATCCGAACTTGTGGTGTGGTCACCAGTAGCACTGGAATCCTTCCTCAGCTCAGTATGGTGAAGTATGACTGTCAGAAGTGCTCCTTTATTTTGGGGCCTTTCTACCAATCAGCCAATCAGGAAGTGAAGCCTGGGTCATGCCCAGAGTGTCAGTCACGCGGACCTTTTGAGATAAACATGGATCAGGTATGATGTGATCAGGAACTTGAAATTATGCTGGGAAGCCACCTATTGTAGACTATCTTTCCACTGAGGTGGGAAAAGATCTATTTCCAACTTCCTCATGCTTCAAAAACCAGGGATAAGCAGTGAAAACTGTTTGCCTCTTGGCTGCAAGACTTGAACCTGATATTGTATTAATGACAAGATTTCGTCCTCTTAGCACCTTGCCTTTAAGCACATTGTGTTGCCTAAGATTTTAGTGCTTTTTTTTTCCTGAATTTTGGTTAGCAGTGTTTTCCTTCCATTTCTTACAGACTATTTATCAAAACTTCCAAAAAATCAAGATTCAAGAGAGCCCCAGTAAAGTTGCCGCAGGCAGACTTCCAAGATACAAAGATGTCATCCTTACTGGTGATCTAGTGGACAGTTGCAAACCAGGAGATGAGATTGTAAGAGCCACAGAAAACCTCAGTTCTGCTATTGACAGTTTCAACTATTTATTATTTTCAACTATGTATATTGGATAGGTACAGTTGTATCTCGTGTGTAAAAAAAATCTGGTAAATCAGTATCCCAGTAGCCTCTCCCCTCCCTCCCTAGTCAGGCCTGTCTACTGCCTAGACTTAAGTGCACTCAACATGTGATATTTGCCTTTTCTTTGTTTCAAATTATCATATTCATTGTTGCAGGAACTCACAGGAATTTACAGAATAAACTATGACACAAGCCTGAATCGCTCAAATGGTTTTCCAGTATTTGCAACAGTGATAGAAGCCAATTACATCACCAAACAGGATGACAAATTAGCAGTGACGAGTCTGACTGATGATGATATCAAGGCAATCATCGAGTTGTCAAAAGAGGAGAGAATTGGTGAAAAGGTACAATTAGTTTAATTTGTTTATTTTTCCAGAAGCTTAGAGTTACCAAAGATAAATCTTGTATTTTTTTTTGCGAGACTTGTTTTGAGGGATAGGGAACATATGTAGCTTAAAAGTCTTATTCACTGTCTTGGTTTAGATTATCAACAGCATTGCACCATCCATATATGGTCATGATGACATTAAGAGAGCGATTGCTCTTTTGCTGTTTGGAGGCGTGGCCAAAGATCCAGGTAAGGATGGAGGACTACATTACTATGAAATTATCTGCATTATTGGTCCACATAAATGTACTGAGTGATGTATCAATGGTGTGTCTAATACTTAACATCTGAGCTGTCGTAGTGTATTTTTATTTTTTTCCTGCTTTTTTTCGATAAGGATTTATGTTTAAACATTGTATAGTCTGACCTTCTTATGATACAAATCTTACTGCTTTTCATGTGTAAATTACTATTATTATTATTATTAGTTATCATGCTAACTAGATACTGGTCTATATGACAACAAGGTCACCTTCAGCCTCTCTCCAAATCAAAGGCTTGGCAACTAAGTACACAACTATGAAATGGCCTATTGGATGTGTTTCTAATACTTAGCATCTGAGCTGTCTTACTGTGTCCCTAGTTATTTTTCTGCTTTATTTGGGCAACCTGAGGGGAGTTTATGATCAGAGTCAAGTCAAGTGAAGGGTTTTTTGCCAGTTCATTTTTATATTCAAGAAAACTCATAAGTCAGTTTTGCTGGAATAAACAAGTTCCATGAACCAGACTTAAAACATACAACTGACAAACAACCTCTTCTTTGACTCTGTTGACAATTTTCTCTCAAGCATCAGCCACTGTCAGGTGCAAGAGTTCCTTTCAGATTGTATCATAACATTCAGAGATTTTTGTGTTATAGTTCTTGCAGATTTCCTTAAACCCATGCAATGTATATATTTTTTACCAAGGTGGAAAGCACAAACTTCGAGGTGACATCAACATCCTTCTATGTGGTGATCCAGGGACAGCTAAGTCTCAGTTTCTGAAATATGTGGAGAAAGCAGCTCAGAGAGCAGTGTTTACAACTGGTCAAGGTGCATCAGCTGTTGGATTGACAGCTTATGTTCAGAGGCATCCGGTCACTAAAGAATGGACGCTTGAGGCTGGTGCATTGGTGTTGGCTGATAAAGGCGTCTGTTTGATTGATGAGTTTGATAAAGTATGTGCACTTCTTTTTAAGCACAAATTTTTATTTTTAACCAAAGTGTTCACCTGGGAGTTTAGCATCATGTGTACTCTTGGAAGCCTGGTTTAAGTTATTGGTCAATAATTGATTGTTTATGGAGAGATAGTCAGTCAAACAGTTGACCAATTAATAACCAATAGACTGTACTCAATATTTATCAAATTGCCAGCATATTAACTCACATGAGATTTTGAGAGAACATGGGAAAAGTTTGTCAGTCACAATTTAATGGTGGGTGATTCACAAAATTTTCAAGTGTTTCACTGATATCACATATGGTCTACTAGGCATCTAAACCTAAGAAAATGTCATCTATTGCTTCTGTAAAATTTGTTTTAAGTTAACTGGTAAAATTAATAGTAGTTTTTTGACTCACTAAGGCATGCACAATATTTTGGGTGTTTTTTAACAACTGATAATCAACCCACAGTCAACTGTTGATCAATGGATATGGGTTGGTTGACCAATTTTGATTAGCTATCAACTGACCAGTATTTAGATGAAGGCTGTCATTAGTACACTAAATGTGGAGTTTCGTGAATAAGGCACAAAGCTATTTTCATGCATACATATATGCAGTAGAATTTGGGCTGGCATGGAATACCTAACCCTGCTTGTTGGAACCTAGTCATGTAATATTATAAGTTTCCACATGTAATATCTTAGAATTTAATGATCCTGCTGATTTTGAGTATTTTGAAAATGATATCCAAGCCAGAAAGTTGTCAGAAATTTTGGGCTCTTCTGCTGCATTCTCTTTGGTGGTGTTGTATGCAGCTAGTGCTTTCGCACCCACCTGCTCATTGCCTCGGCCACAATCTTAACCAGGGCAGGCAATGAGTGGCATAAGTATTAAGTGGAGATGGTTAACTGGTTACCTATCTGGACATTTCATTTAACCTTCAGACGAGCCTTACAGTATGCATGTGTAAAAGCAAATGTCCATTTGCAAGTAGCATCTTAAGCTAAGACTGCAGCATAATGCAAGAAAATCTTTTTGTGTGAATGATCCAAAATTTCTATGATTTTTTACTACAGATGAATGATGCAGATCGTACAAGTATTCATGAAGCCATGGAACAGCAGAGCATATCAATCTCCAAAGCTGGCATTGTGACCTCACTGCAGGTGATTTAAAAAACTTTCAATTCAATCGGATAATTGAGCTTTTTTTTTAAAAGAGCTTTTTTATGCACAGAGTTTCTTATCTTGCTTACTAAGGTTTTTTTTCTCTGGTGATTGTTTTTTTATAGGCTCGTTGCAGTATCTTAGCTGCTGCAAATCCAATTGGTGGACGTTATGACCCATCCATGACTTTTGCTGAAAATGTAAGTTACTATTTCTTCAGAAGAGAAAGCCTTAATTTTACCTCACAAGGTAATAGCACCACTTGCAGACTCCTACAATATACCCTTGAGATTGTGGCCAAATGGTTGTCTACTATTTTGTGGTTGAACTCTGAGGGGTTTGCAATTAAGTCCACTTTTGGGTGTGACACTTTACCTCCATAATGCCTCTTATCTAAGAGTGTGAGCTGGTTTTGGTTGGTTGATGAGCAGAGCATAGGGGCAGATCTAGGAATTTTTGATTGAGTTGTTGTTGATTTGGATAATTCTTTTATTGTCATTTTAATGATTTTTTTTTGTTATCAAGAGCCATAAGAAGCCAAGGAATATGTCAAAATAAGTTAATTTTAAATACTTCAAGTTGAATAGTAATATGCCATCCTGTCTTTGGAAGAATTTTGGTATCAGACAAGTAGTATAAATACTTACAGGTCTGATGGGTGATTGGGGACTCTCTGGACCCTCCCTTAGAATCTGCCATCAGAGGACTCTAATGACATAATGTGAGGGTATCTGTGATTTTTCTTTCTTCAGCTGCCTATAGCCTTCCTTTAGACTGCGGGCATGCTCTCATGTTTGGGTGTTGCCTTACTCTCCCCCCTCCTTTTCCAGGCACAGCTGCTCATTACACCTTTGGCAGCCTCTTATGGGAAAAAAATTATTGCAACCTCAGGATCCCATGAATCATTGCAAGCGTAGTTTGAACTCTGATCTTAGCAGCCCTCTATACACTATCCTTTACATTCTTATCTGCCATAATAGGTTGATCTGACTGAGCCAATCCTTTCTCGTTTTGACATTCTCTGTGTTGTCAAAGATACAGTGGATCCTGTTCAGGTAAATTAACTCTTAAATTCCCGTAGTTGATGAACATGTAAATTCTTCCTATAACTTCAAAATACTATGGAGCAAATAGGTGATGAGAAAAGGTGAACTGATCAGCAAGAGGGTGTCATCTTGTCATGATACCAACCTCTCGTATCATTTACAAGGGAAAGTGTAGTACCTAGAACGGGGAAGTACTGAATAGATCTGCACTGGGTTTTTCAAAGCTGGGTTAAGATAACCCAGGGTTAGTGTGAAGTCTGATTTCAGATCTGAAAGCTTTCAAAGAAAATTCAATATAATTCTTTTTGTTAACAATTTGACGGTTGGATGCTCCATATAGAATAGAGAAAATTATCCCAAAAAGGCTTCGTCACAAGCCTCTGACACTCCTATGCACAAAATCTCATAAGATAAACGTGTCCTTAGCCATGTTAGGTCATTGCGTTTTGTACTTCAGTTTTGTGCGTGATTTTGCAGGATGAGATGTTGGCTAGGTTTGTCGTGAACAGTCACGTGAAGCATCATCCAAATGCCGTGAACAGTGAGGAGAATGATGACGAGGACACGGAAGAGGTACGCGTAGATCATAACTTTAGTTCAACAAGAATTAACTAAGCCATGCTTAGAGGGACATTAGGTTGGATCAACAAGAGTTTTTAATGAGAAATTCACTCTCTGGCGTGGTAAGGAGGCTCTTGGCAAGAATGCATTGAATGCCAGTAAGGAAGCCGTCTTGCTTGTTTGTCCTAATCTAAATCATTGGCGAGCCTTTTGTTGTTAGAAGGTTTTCTTTTTTTTTTCCGACTTAAAGGAAGCCTGCGAGTTGGCAGGACGCGCGTTTCACCGCTCGCGGAAAGATTTGAGACCAGTCGGGGAGAGGTTTGCTGGAGGTGTGGCACTAATCAGTGCTAGAACCCCAGCTGACCTATCGCTGGCTCGCGTCGCGTGAGGCCTCATACTTTCCCACGGGCGGAGAAGCCCCAGTGAAAAGGATCTTCCCGGACGCTACTCAAAGAGATGTCGATATGCAGATTCCTTAGGACCTCTTAGTTGCAATTTCTTTGAGAGCTGCTGTCATCATATTTAGCAGTTGTAAGTTTTAAATTCCTTGTCTCTTATTGCAGATTTCTCCCCTGAGTGGAAAGGAGACTATTCCGCAAGAGATGCTGAAAAAGTACATCATATATGCGCGCGAGAAGATTAACCCTAAACTGCACAACATGGACCAGGATAAAATCGCCAAAATGTTTGCTGAATTAAGAAAGGAGTCAATGGTGAGACAAAATTTTATCATGTGTTATTTTAAAACCGGTTCGCATCGTCTTTGATTCTTAGGAAAAGTGTGGAAATTTGGAAAACAATTTTTATGACCCGCGAAAAGGGTTGATGCTGAAAAAAAGTCGAGGAGAGGCAAGATTTTTCTCTAAGCTTTAAGAAGAGCTTGATTACGGAGTGAAATCTGCATTAGTTCTCTGTTCCGTGGCCAAACTTTTCATAAGCGCCGTTGGAGAATTGGTAACTGCACTCTTGTAAGGGCCATTTGATTTGCCTAGTAACCTTAACCCTTTAACTCCCACGAGTGATTAAGGCAGAATTTCTCCCTTCGATATCAATACAGAATCAAGCAGACCAGTAGTGAGAATTAAAAAAATATCAATAGACGATTATCCGAATAATTCGAATAGTAAAGAGAATTACTAAAAAGACCATGGGAATGAAAGGTTTTAGAACGTAAAGCGAAAACAGTGGTCTTAAAAAAATTCGAAAAGTTGTTTGAGTCTTTGAATTTGAAATTGCAGTTTATTAGACCGAAATGAATTTAAACGTTTTCAGGCCACTGGTTCTATCCCTATAACTGTGCGACATATCGAATCCATGATCAGAATGGCTGAAGGACACGCGAAGATGCACCTGAGGGAATACGTCACCGAAGATGACGTCAACATGGCAATTAGAGTCATGTTGGAGAGCTTTATCGACACCCAGAAGTTCTCTGTTATGAGGAACATGAGAAAGGTATGTTTAAAACTTTCTACGCAACTTAGTTTGCGAGAAAGCGAAGTTGTGATTTACGCGGTTTTTGCCACCTCACCAATCGAGGTTAGGCTAGTTCGTTGCTTTGGTAAGTCGTATACCAGATTCGCAAATGACAAGTGCAGTTCTACCATATGTCAGAATCATCTCCTACAAGTGTCCTGTACACTTGTGAGATCAGTAGTTTTGAAAGCGTTTTGTGAAGATTGATTGTAAAAGATGCTGAATTTAACGCTCTGTTCGTCGACAAAAGAAAGACGCAAAAACTTTTGACACAAGCGTGGCTCAAGTTCCTTCAATTCATTTTCTTAGGTGGCATTTTCGTTTTTAATGCGTTTAACTTTTTCAATCTGGTCTCACTACCCCTGCAAAGCACTCTGATAAATTTCGGTGGTAGAGCGATGTTTTCGAGCAATCAGATCAATCGAGTTTCAAATAGGACCAATCCCACCATGCCTAAGAGAAGATGATCTATTTATCCTCAGTTCTGATTGGTTATTTGATTTCTCCATGTTGCCGCTTTCGTATTGAATCCGCTGATATCAGTGTACGCCCAGTTCCCGCTAAAGACGCCACTTTCCCGCCACGCTCAAACTGATTTCTCTACTGACTGGTTCATTAATAGAGATTTGTGCTGATTAACGAAATGGGAATCTTCAGTCAATGTTTCGCGCGTTTTATTGCAAATTTTAATGAGGAAACTCTGACAAAAGCTGTGTTGTTTCTTTGTTTTAACAGGCTTTCTCTCAGTATCTGGCTTATCGCCGTGACAATAATGAGTTACTCCTGTTCGTATTGAGGCAGTTGGCCAAAGAACAATATACCTTCTCCCGTAGTCGATATCGCAGCGAACCCGATGTGATTGAAATTCAAGAAGACGAATTCACAGACAGGGTAAGCTTCGCTGAATTCAGTTGTTTTTCGTTTACTCCGGTTTGTCATGGGTTTTGCTTCACCTCGTACAATGATTGGTCTAGAAAACTCACGTCATCCTCTCAACCAATCAAATGCAAAATTAAAACCTACCGCGTCCTGGTCTCTCAAGTTTTCCCGCGCTTTAGGCTGGTTGCATGTTCTTATATTGGGTTTTCATAGGCAACTTGTGATACTACCCTCATTCTTATTTGTCACTGTGATTTTACTCTAGTTCTCTCGAAAACTTCGTTGTTTCGACCTTAGTGTGTGTTTCCATCAGATATCCACACTTGAACCAATCCAACAATTGTTACTTGATTAAGGCTATCACGTTGAGGTCTGTTGTAGCCTGAACTAGGCCCGTAGTCAGCGGAGATGCGAACAAAAAACGGCGAAGGTTTGAGAAAGAGTTTTTACTTTCCAAGCTCAAAAGGCTGGTTATTTACACGCGGTTTAAACTTTGTTTGAATAACCGGCCCAAAGTCTATCGTTCGCTTTACTTTTAAACGCATCTCTCACTGAGAATGTAGTACAGGCTTATCCTGTTGCAATTGGTGTATCGATCTTAAATTTCTTCCTTTTCTTTTACAGGTCAGGCAAATAAATATCACTAGTTTGGGATCGTTCTACGAGAGCCCAATGTTCACATCTAACAGATTCATCCACGACAAGAAACGAAAGCTCATCATTCAAACACTGTGATCTTTTACTTCACGAGAACGCTTGAATAACCTTAGATCAGAACTGTTTCGGCACTATACCAGTCACACACTCCTTTTGGGGTTGACTGGGTTTATATGAAATAGTTGCATCTTTTCTCATTCATGCTGTAAGAGTTGCCAGGATTTGGCTTCATCTCGGTTCAAGTTAAGAAGGCTTTCATTCTAAGGGCTTACTTATGAAGGAGGCATTGGTTACTTGAATATTTTGGAAGGTGAAAAGTAGCAATTAGCCTGCGGGTAAGCTCTTATTGACGGAGGGGCACGCGCCGTTAAGTCTGCGAGATACAAGCTTGCAAGAGTGCTGTGAGGGGTCTGAAGAACCCCATCTTGTAAATTAAGCACTTTCTTTTTGTACAGATCTTTTGTATCGGCTGTTTGAAATATAAATTTTCTTGAAACTTTTCCTCTTGTCGTTGCACTTAATCATCTCACAGCAACTTTAGGTGATCAACATGTAACTTCTCCCTATAACATCCGCACATTGTCCAGTCAACATGTAATGAAAATAGTCAAACTTATCGGGTAGGAATTAGTAGTCTTGATGTAACACTAAATTCTCATGACTCATTTACAAGGAAATGTGTAACAGCTAGAGGGGAGAATTAACAATCAAATCTTGGGAGTTTAAGGGTTAAAAAGCAAACAAATATGGCAGATTTTGCTTCTCTCACCAGCCCCTTCTCGTGCTTTGTGAGTGGAGGAAAGGGGACGGTGGTCCATAACGGCATGTTGTATCACGTGACCAGGCTGCACCTGACCTCGGCGCCTCGCGATCCTCCAGACGATAAAATTTGTCGCTTAAATCCAGCAGCTTGTGGTCAAAAAGCAAATGAACAAAACTTTTATCTACATTCTGATAACCAAGAAACTTCATGTTTAATTTATCAGCCCTGTATTCTAAAAGTTTAATGTGACAACACGTAACTGTTAACAATTATCGTTAAGAGCATATAAAAGGTCGTAAAAAGGGCATCTTAATGAGTTCGACCTCGTGGGTCTCAAGGGCGAGACTGAAACTTCCATGAACTTTGATCCTCGACTCTACTCCTGTCCTACAGTGAGCCACACCCACAATATCCCTGTTCTAAGAACTTCAAACGAAATATCATCAAAACTTTACACCCTGACGCCTTAGTAACTTTTCGTTCGCGATTCTTATTTCTAGCGGTTATACACTTCTTTGTGAGTTTGCTAGGAGAATTAAGTTTAGGATCAAGAAAGCACCCTATAGTAGGTAAATTTTATTATTCTTTATTATTCTTATCCCCTTAGTGGACAAAGTAGTTTTTATGTGAAACAAGTCTGGGATTAACTCTGACTCTTAAAAGTGACTAGCATCTAATTTCTCCTTACAATATCATCCTATCACACAAGAAGGTCACGAGAATAAATTAAAACTACACACGCCTCTGACTGATGAACAAATTCTCCTTGTCAGCATCTTAGGATGTGTATAGGGAGCAGTATGAAGAATATAAATACTGATGTCAGGGTGTTTAAAAGGTTTAAGAGGATAATAAACTCTTCTCCAAAAAGCGGGAAAACAACAACAATAATAAAATACACATCAGAAAAAAGAACAAAATCAAGGGATAACAACGACAAAATATATTCGGCGTTGTTTACGTTAAATAATGTGATCACGGAGCCTCGCCGGATCTGAGTCATTATGACTTGACAATGGACTTTGGATATCACAGTTTGACTTACACAGCGTCCTATAAACGCAAAAAGGAGGAAAGTCCGCGCTTTTGGAACGGAAACGCAATGCTTTGTGGGACAATTCAGGCCCAGGCGACCGGCCTCGTTGTGATGTGTACGCGCACGCCATTATTTTCGGCCATATTGAATGAAACACTTCATACGTTCAAAGCCAAAAACGGTAGAAATTATGTGATATTAATCGCGTTGTTTGGCCTATTTTCACAGGGCACGTTGAAAGAATAGAATCAAGGAATAAGTCATCGAGCGCAACAAGACTCTTATCGTTTCGCTTAGTCATCGTGATTGTAAAACTCACGGTTTTCAAAGAATCATAGAATTATCTTTACTCTAAGAAAGAAGTCACCTCTTAGTTTGTGGTGATGCAGCATGGTAGATTGGCAAAATGAATAAATTTTAGCTTATGTTTATGCTCAGAAGATGAAGATTGACAGAAGTAAACTGCGCAAAACGCAGTCCGACGTGGTAAGTGTCGTACAATTGCGAGTAGATATCATTTTCCGTGAAGTCCATTATCAGAAACTTGAGTTCGATGTGTGATAAGCTGAGAAATCTTGTATTTTCTTCGGACGCAGTGAGTCTCTCATGTATAGTAGACTTTACTTGTGTTCTCTTCTAGTACTTTACTAACAAAGTTTTTTCATAAACAGGCACCTGAGTGCAAACAGCTTATTCAAAGGTTGAAGGAAGCCAGCGATTGCGAGTTAATTCGAATTCTCAAAGACATCAATACCTGGTACTATGGAAAGGTACACAGATATTAACTTCATCCTTTTTACTAATATCTAGTGTTATTATTTGAATGTTTTCATGGTCATTTCAATATTCCAATTTATTAGTTTGCTAAGTTTTTGTATTGTTAAAGATCCCCGTTAGACAAACATCGTCGTGATGACAGGAAATTCAATGTAATTTTAATACTTTGATTGCTACTTGTACATAGTTCGGTTACATTGAAGATGGCTTTAAAAGTTAAATGATTAGGTCGCTAAGTTATTTCTTCCTTATGGAAACAACATTTGTTATAGTGTTTGAAAATGTGCTTAATTAACTTTTGATTTAAGTCGAAATCTTTCAGTTGCAAGGATCATTTTGATTAATAATCACTTGAATAATGATTTAAGTACATGTAATATTTAGCAATTCATAATCACTGTTTCATTCACTGCAGTACTTAACAGAATTAGTTCCCATCTTTTCTTTCAGTTAGTGTTGTTTTTGTGGATTGAAAGATTGCAATGACCATTTTAAAGCTCTAACCTTAAGGGTGTGTTAAAAAATGATGTCAGGGTCATATTTCAAAGGAGAATTATTTGGAAGCGTAGAGATACAAGTGTAAATTATGTTGCGTTAAGTCAAGCCAATATTTTTCATAGGCTAACTCAAATTCAATCTTCTGTTTTCAAAGTTCTCTCTTGGATTTAACCATTTTACACCTTAACCCTTTCACACCTTAACAGAAGTGTTCAAGTTCTCCATTCTGTTCCTTATACATTTCCTTTGGTACTACAAGGACAATTTGTCTTACAATCAAGATCCTCTTGAGAATTTGCAATCATTTCCTTTGTTCTCATGACAGTATTGTTTAATTCAGTGGTGATTCTGATGAGAGAAACTAGATGCTTATCACTCCTGTTAATTAAAACAAACTCAGAAGTGTTGATGTGCATAACACTATGTAGACTTTAAAAACTCTGTTTTCAAATGTGTTGTTAAAATTTTGTTATAATATCTTTGATGGAATTTTTAGCTTGTTTTCAAATAGTTGTAGAAGTTCAAGAGACTCTGAAAGCTGCTTCTTGTTTATTTACATCATGTAATAATAAGTGTTTATTGTCTGAGTGGGAGGGCCAGACAGGAAATATTTAGCTCGAGGTCATGACATACAGACCAAGTGCATTGAGGTCAGTGCATCATGACTGAGAGCCGAATATTTTCCCATGGGGCCCTCTTACTCGCTAAGCTTTTTATCATATGACCACTAAGTCTTAAAAAATTTTGAAAATTTTGCATCAACCTAAATAGTATATGATAGATCGACTTACATGGGACAACCACAAAAAAGATTCTTGGAGCCAGACCAATTAAAACACTTTTTCCTTTAAGTTTTTGCAACAAAGCTGTGTGAGTGCAGGGCCAGATAGCTCTCTTTGGACCAGCTCTCATCAACCCCTTCGGCCTTACACAGGTCAACTTTCCCTATGGTTTTCTATGGGATTGTGCACGTGGAGCTGTTCAGGTCATATGATAAAAATGAAGTGGATAGGCCATAAGACAAAACCCGAACACAAGAGCCTACTGTAAGGCTGAACAGGTTTAGACAGGTAGCTGTAGATTGCCAGTAACCAATTTTTATTAAAACTCCTATTGTGGTAGAGAATCAGACCAACAAATCCAAAGTACTAAGGTTAGATTCCTCATAGGTTATAGTGGATGCTTCTTTATCCCTAACTTTTGACAAAGCAAATAGTAATTTTATTTAATTAATACTTTTGTTTTGTTTAGTGTGAGCTTCAACACTGGGTAGATGTTATGGACAAGTTTGATGAAATCTTGGCAAGTGTTGCTAAACCAGTTAATGGTAGCTCTTGGATTCTAACTTATGACAAGCTGGATCAACTTGAGGGACCAGATATAGCAGTAAGTTTTTTAACTTAAACAAGCGAAAATAGATGTTTCTTAGACTATACTTGAGATTATCCCCTTTATTTTGGTTATTGATAGTGATTTTGTATGGTAATTTTTACCATACAAACCTCAATGCTTTTTTTTAGTTTCAAATCCTGCAAAGCTTATTTAGCACCAAGTAAGTTAACCCTTTAATTAAAACTCCAAAGATCTGATCATTAATTCTCCCCTCTAGCTGCTCCACATTTCCTTGTATATAAGTTATGAGAATTTGGTATAAGATGAAGATAACCACTTCTACAGTGTACATGTACATGTACATGATAAATTTGAGAATTCTTGTTACCTGTTTGCTAGATAATGTATGGATATTATGGGGAGAAGTAGCATGTTAATCACTAACAGTAGTTAAAGGGTGAACAATTACTGTTTGTTGGGTTTGGTAGAACTTTCAGTGTATTGATTGATTTTTGTGTTACTTGTAGATTGAACGTCGGTGCTTGGTAAACCACGTGTTGAGATTCACAGCTCTGGTGTTGGAACACTCATACACAAGACATCTGTATAGCTCATCAGAGGTAATTGTTTTCTTTTTACACTTTAGCAGCTACTGAATGCTAGGCTGACAAGCATAACCTGACCAAAGTCATCAAAACTATACATGTGTGACCATGAAAGGCAAAACGGACATTAATGGTTATATGTTCAAATGGGTAAACTGTTCATTATCCGTTCATTATCTGTTTGAAGGCCTCAAAAACTCTGTTCAAAGCATTTGAAAAACTGTTCAAACGGTTTGCATATCGGTTTGAAATATATTAGGGTCTGTTCGAAGTTTTGTGACATCCATTTGAACGGTTCTGACATCCTTTCGAACAGTTTGGACATCTGTTTGAACAGTTTTTGCATCAATTTGCCAACTAGAAGTGTCTATTCTGTTCATCTGTTCAAAGGAAGAAAATTGCTCTCGTGGTTTCTCTACAGATATTCAGTATAGTGGTTGGAACGTCACAATCCACATCTCTATGACTAAATTGTGAGACAAATGATTAACTCAGCTATCATTTTAAATCAATGAGAAATTGAATAGTTTCCATTTTCAATTGTGAGAATAAAGGCCTTGAAATTGATGACAATAACAAATGAAATGAAAACAATACTCAGCAACATTGCCCATTCCATTATCAAGCTACATGCTTGGAACAGTTTCGCAAACTGTTTAAGCAGTTTATTCATCTGTACAATTGGTAAACCAATAATTATTGTACAACCAATTGTGTGGATTAATAGTATTTTCATCTGTTTGAACAGCTTGCCAGTCTGTTCGACATTATCTGTTTTACTCATCTGTTTGAATGGCTAAGCAAACTGTTCAAGTAATTTATTCACCTGTTTGAATGGTTTGCCTGTCCATTTGAAAATTTTTACTCATCTGTTTGAATGGGTGACCAAACTGTTCGAATAATTTATTCACCTGTTTGAATGGTTAGGTAAACTGTTCAAACGCTTCAAGGACTGTTTGTTAACCGTTCATTATCCATATGTTTTTGCCATTTTAACTGTTTTCTGTTAGTGTCCATTTTGCCTTTCACACATTACATAGCCATTTGGCACAGTTTCTAGGACAACACAAAGCATCTTGAAATCTTTTCAAGTTGCTGGGTGAGCAGGGAAAGGCCAGGAATGGCAGAAGGTCCAAAAATACCGCCCATAAAAAGTCCCATAACTTAATCTCAGGCTCTAACACTATGCAAGAAAAATATTCTCCGCTCTTTTCATTTTGCTCAGCCAGTGAAAAATAGAAGTGCTCCGCACACTTTTTTCTGTTGTTTGACTAGGGTTTGGTACCACAGTTGTCATTTGCCCAAGTGTAACTGCAATGGGTTTAAGTCTAAAGTTTTTAAACAATTTAAGGGTTTAGTTCTTCAGCCTACAGTATTACAAGCCTACACTAACTGTGTTCAAATATTTTTTCTTTTAGCATCTGGTTTCACTGTTGGTTGCAAGTGACATGGAAGTTGTTTTGTCAGTTCTTGGAGTACTTTATGTTTTTAGGTATTTTCTTAATCTCTCTATATTACATGTAGATGAAACTAAGGGGTCTATAGAAATTGTGGAGGTGACAACCTCATGGCAGTATAAGACAAGATCAGTATAGAGCCAGGGTATAAGGGTGCAAGGGTTAGGATTGGGAGGGGGGGGTGGGTGGAGGATAGAGGAGAAAAACTTGACAGATTGTGATTAGAATTGCTTTCTTTAAAATTATTTACCATTTCATAGTAGGCTTGGCAATTTATACATGTAAGCTTTTTCCTTGGTGCTTACTCTACTCTTTGTCGTCAACAGTAAAAGATCTAGCTTTATACCACGGTTACCTGCTGAGAAAAGGAAAGCAATTCAACAGCGTCTTCAATGCCTAGGAGAGGTAAGTATCCAGACAAAATATTTCTTCATTAAATGATCTTTACACTATCAAATGCCATTTATGTAATTGCAAAGAGAAGCCTTCACACTCTGAGCACTTCGTTAAACTTTGACTCCTGTAATTTCTCTGCCCTAATAGAGTAATTTGATTTGTTATTTTGAGAATCAGGGGACATTGTGGACTAATGGTCCAAGTGTTGGACTTTGAGTATATAGATCCACTTTGGAAACCTGGCTGTGTTATCGTGTTGTGTTCTTGGGCAAGACAGGTATCTCTTACAATGCCTTTCTCCTTATAGGAGTATCAATGGATACTCATAAACAGCAAGGAACACCAGAAAAAAACTCAGGGGGAGGGGGGACATTCAATAGACTAGCTTCCTATACAGGGGGAAGTGATAAAACCCCTAATAGTTTCAAACTACTGAAACCTTGAAGAGCTCCAGCCAGAGGATCCATTGGGAATGATTGCTGACCTTACCTCTACTTTTCTATTTAATTGCGAGAGCCACACTTTGTCTGTGTATTTCTCTTTGTGTTAACATGAAGATTGTATTATTCTTAGACATGGGGAGGCAAGAATGCAGGGTTCAGTCTGGCCCACTGTTGCGAGGATTTGCCTCCAAAGGTAAAGTTGCAAGACACATTTAAGCAGCAGAATAAAACAACTGATTTTAAGCACCCCCTATCTCCCTATAATCTTTGTTGTTTCTGAAACAATTTTGTATGTGTGATTGTCTTGTGGTATGTAAGCCATTTTTGCTTTTAATCAGTCATTCTTCCAGGCTTGAAACTTACTATAGTGCTGTTTATGTATATTCATGAAACTTTTGCAGTACCTACATGTCTGTTTTTTTTATTTATTAGTTACTACTTCCTTATTAATGTTTTTTAGGATTTTCCTGCCAGCTGTGCCGACGTTTATTTTGAGTATTACAATGAAACCCCAAACACCTCACAACCTGATTCACAGGTAAAGAAAGGATATGAACTATCCACTCTTAGATATTTTGATGTCAGCTGTGCAGTGCAGTGTTCTGATGACATTTGACCTTTTTTTCTAAAATTACTTTTGATGATAATGCCAGTATGTCATGTCTGCCTTAACTAGATTTTTTTATATGATTAAAAAGGTTTTGTTTTTCATTCATTGAACAGGCCCAAACCTCAAGTAGCCAGTTGACTTCAGTACATGTCAAGCAACTTTACCAGGTACCACATTGCACATAATAAAAAGACCTGTTTGAATGCTTTGGATAATTTTCAAGGAATTTTCACATCCTCATCCTCCATAGTCTGATGATCTGCATCTTCCACAGTGACTCATTTGCTCTGACGAAGGACAAACTCTTGAAACACCAGCTTTGAAACTCTTTATGATTGCCAGTTTACATTATCAACTCAGTTGATAATACCAAATGACCTTGTTATACTCTCCCAAGGACGCAGCAACGCAGTTTCTTTAGAAACGTATCCCCTTTCTTCCACAGTGACTGTTACCCTTAGGTTCAATCATTCATTGAGCTTTGTAGGAAAATTCTGCTTATCTACAAACATATATATAACAACATTGTTCTGTGCTACCTTATTTGCTAGTTTTCAGAGAATCCAGGAGAGGTTATGGAACAGGTCTTGGGTTGTTACAGTGTTCCTGCTGACAAACAGGTATTTTGAAGCTGTGCAGAATCAAGGGTAGATTCTTGATATTTCCTTTTCATCACCAGAACTGCTGGTACATGTAATTGCTGTTAACCCATGATTTTTGATAAGTGATCAAGACAGAATTTCTCCTTACAGTATCAATACAATATTAAGCAGACAAGTGATGAGTATAGAGGAAAATATCAATTTGGGGATTATAAGTTGATCCAATATCAAATTCTCTTAACTAACATCACAAGAATTGTATAGCAGAAGGTAAGGAGAGTCACTAATGAGATCTTGGGAGTGAAAGGGTAAAGTCTCACCATGAGTGTAAATGTTTTATGATTGTAGTTGGTGATCATTGAACTAAAATGTAGGGGTTACCATTCAGCTCTACTCCCCATAAGATCATACAGGAAAAAGACTGTTGTCTCAATTTCTCTCTTTTGTTGTTTGTTTAACAGGTAAATCTGTTCAGTAGAATACGACTAGCTAAACATTTTCCTGTATATGAGAAGAGATTGCAGTGTATCCAGGCTCGACTCCAAGCCATCTCTGTGTTATGTAAGAGCTTTATCCTCACAAGTGTTTATAAAGTCATGTACATTTGTTTGTTGTTTACTGGGTTAGAGGTCTGTGGCCATAGAATTTTGTGCCTAAGGTCTTTACTGTATTGTTTATTTTCTTAAACTGTTCTGGATGCAAGTTATCAAACTGAAAATTGTGTTATTTCTATTACAGTGTATTCCAACAGCACCCAGGATGTTGTAAACCCATTGCTATATCAGGGATTTATTGAGGAAACCGTAGAATTACTTGAGTTGGAGCAGACACAATTCTGTGTAAGTTGTTTGTTGGATATTCATACAATTTAACTGCCATCAACTCTCATGTAAAGCTTGTTATGGAGCATGATTAACTGCTCTCTTGCTTTGACAGTAGTGGCATAAAAATGACTCCTTGCTGGTGTGTGATTTTATTTTTACAGGAAATAAGAACAGCAGCTATCCGTACTCTTACTGCCCTGGTACACATGGAGTGCAGTCCAAGGTATGCAAAAAAATTGTGGTTTGGAAAACATTTGTGATTTTAGCCAGCTGGAAGTTCTGTGTAGAGAAAAACTGTGACCAAGGTCTGGGAAATGTTGCAGCAACTCCTAGTCAGCTTATAATTTATTTATTTTTTCTCTCCTTAAATTATGCTTAGGGTTAGTTGTCCTTTTTCGGACACAAAATGCACTCAGTGAATGCAGTGAACTATGATAAACTGATAATTTTTAATGAAATATTGTCCCCACCTTTCTTGTGTGATAAAAATCTTTGTCAAAGTATGTTTCTGCACTAAAATGGATTTGTTGGCAATTTTGGTAAATGCATGGACAAAAGTTGCAGCAACTCTAGGAAGGGATAGGAAAATCTAGACTACACATAGAACTTAATCAGATTACAGGATTTGCTGACATACCCTTTTGAAAAAAATGAATTACTATTCATGTCAGTTCATCTTGAAGAAAGGTATTTTTCACTGAGTAAAACCCTGCAGTTTTACTGTACATGTATGATGCAATACTGAAGGAACAAAATGTCCATGTGCAGAATGTTGCATTGATTGGTATTTTCCTTTGATCGTAGAGTGAACACTGTGATTGACTGCACAGGGCTGGCATCTTATCATGGATTCTTACCTACACTTACGAGAAACTGCATCCAAGCTCTTACAGGTACAGAAATTCAAGGCACTCACAATTTAAGTAGGCCAAACACATTTTTCATTTTGTTGTCATATTTAAGTAATGCAGTATTGGTTGTATTATTCAATATATAGTTATCTTTTTCTTATTAAGGCTCTAGACTTTGTCTTTGTTTTTGTTTTATTGAAGCAAAATGTACTTATATTAGAACTCGAAGGAATTTATTCATTCCTATAAACTTCTAAGTGGTGTAAAAACTAAATGTTTGTGTTGCTTTATTATATTTCAGATCCACACGGTGATTCCCTACCCTTACCATTTGCAACTGGTTTGTTTTCATTTCTTTACCACTTGGCATACTATGAAATTGGTAGGTGAAATCTGCGGAGTAATTTTTCATGACAGTTTCATGCAGTAAATAAGAGGCATCTGTAATGTTATTAATCTTGTCTAATAAGATTTATACATGTATGTAAGAATGCTATCACTGAAGTGTGCATGTACATATCTGATACAGCACTGCTCAAATGTTCATAGACTATTCCTTGGAACTAGATCTGTGATTCTCAGTCCTTGCATCATGAAAACCAAGAGGGCTGAGGCTTGATTCAAGTTTCGAGTTGTTTAATATATTATTGAGTCAAGTTTGGAGATTTTTAAGATGAGAAATTAAAAGATTTTTGGCATGATTGACTTTTCATACGAGTAGAAGCTTCTTCCCTCATGTTTATTTCAGAAGATGAAGGTGTATTGTGGTGGGTGCTGCAATGGGAGCTTCTTCATTGAACTTCTTTCTGAAAAACTTCATTCAAGCTGGCTTTACAGTTCCATCAGTGATCTCTCAAATTAACTTAACAGTTCTATCATGTAGCTTACTGTTTACATGGTGTTTGTTAGGTGCTGAAGCATTGGTGTCCTGTGGTTTGTTAGAAGCTCTTCTTAGAGTTGTGGAACACCAAGGAGGAGACAGTCATTTGACAGTAAGATAATCACAAAGAATCAAATTCATGTGTTAAAGAAAAGATTGGTGTAGTGCTTGGTTGTTATTCTTTCATCAACTGCCTCGTGCAGGGCTCCAAGCTCAAATTTTTCCAGAGCTACCAACTATTAACCTAAAATTGGTTTGGTTAATAGAAGAAAAGACACTTTGTGTGGCATGCATGTGACGTTCTCAACTGCTGACTACATTGCTTATCAACATGTGAGACTAGTACATGTAGCCTCTAAATGGTACTCGTTCAGCAACAGCCACTTTGCAGGAACCCTGGCTAAATCTTGATAGCCTGAGCTCTCTCTTTTTTTTACATTTAGATGTGGAGAATACATGTATTATCTTGTCATTTTATTCTATTCTCCTACAGCTACATTTTGTTATGAAAAACTTTCTCTAGTTTTGCTCTAGTTAGTAGTAAGTAGCCTATATAGAAAAGAGATGGAATCCTTAACCTTTTCTTCAAGATCTTAAACTAGACTTAAACTGATTTGCCGTGATAGTTAAGAGAAAGAGTATTTGCATTGTATGATAGCCAGCTATGGGTGATGTTGTGATAATGATCCTTTTCAGAACTGTTGTGTCTGTGTTTTTATAAATAGTTTGTCACAAGAGCAATTCGTATTATGGAGTGGATTGCCAACATGGACTTGTCCGGTTACCAGAATCAGAGTGGGCTGACTGCCATTATAAGCAGACTAGAGGTACAGTATCCATGCACATACTCTAGATCTACATGTAAATTTGTTTGAAAACACAAGTGTACATTGTTTGTATGTGAAAAAGGCTTGGATGCTTTATTGATAAATGATGACTTTTTAAATATGACTGGAATAGTTACAGGTGTATGACCTTATCTGGCAAAAACTGCCAAACCAGTAACACCGCTGGAAAGAGGAATTTTCTCCGATACAAAGTGGGATGATGTCCGGAAGCTTTTCCAAATCTACATGCCCATGGGTGTTGTCTGTACCCAGTGCAACACAACATACGTGTAGCATGTTTTGATAAGTGTTTTTGTTTGTTTGTTTTTATTTGAAATATGCAGCAAGAAATAAAGAAATGTCTGTCCCATCATGGACCCATACTGTCTCCAGAACTCCCCTCTGTACCTTCCAACCAACAAGAGGGTGTTGCCATGGAAACAAATGATATGCAGGGAACCCAGTCTGATGCTCCTTCACAGCCACACCAATCAGAAGAGGTGCCAATGGAAACAGAGCAGCCATATGTCAACAGTACAGGAGTCACAGATGATAACAAAATGGATGTGGATGAACATGACTCGGGCAAAGAAAAGTCACAGGTTGAATCAGCAGTTGCAGGCCCCAGCTCAGGAACAAGTCCTGTCAGCAAGAACCGCTGCTTGCCTCAGAGAGCTGCATTGATTAAAGCTGTTCTGAGCTTCTTAAAGAAATCTATTCCTGATCCATCTTTCTCAGAGAGTATTAGAAATGGTAAAGATAAACATTGTCTTTCGTTTTGCTCTGCAAGGATAGTTTGTAGAATTCTCTTGAAAATCATCACAATATTAACTCATAAATCTTAGATATTGTATAATTGCTAAATACAGTCAGTCTCCAGTTACTCGACATTCTATTTTTTTTGGTTGTTTGTTTTGTGCATTTTACCCTATTATTTTCCTTATTTTTCAATCTTCAGCTGCTACAGTGGTGAAATCTGTTTCCTTCTTGTAACACAGATATTAGAAAGTATTTGCCTTTGAATTTGAACAATACTTAACATTCTGGATACTTGATTTGGTATTTTTCAGTAATGGACAGCTCACTTCCAACATCGCTGAAGCACATCATTAGCAATGTGGAGTATTATGGCCCTGTTCTCTTCATGGCAGGTATATAAAGTAAAATTATAATTTTCAAAAAGATTGATCACCTGTTAAGCCTCAGCAGAATGTTTCTGGCCTCATTGATGGCAAAAGATAGCCTTTTGGAAAACTGCATGGAAGTTATCAGCAGTCAGAGTCATTTTTCTTAGGTATTGTACTATTTGAGAAGCATGCTCAAAGTTCTCCGAACCAATCTTTAATTTATTTCTTTCCTCAACAGCTATCGATGTTGTGACTGTATATGTTTTCCATGAGCCATCACTTCTGTCCTCTCTCCAAGACAATGGCTTGACTGCAGTTATGCTGAAGGCTTTGGTAGTAAAAGAGGTTGGTTATGTTGTGTCACAGTACATACATGTGCACTTTAAATAGTAGAGTAAAAGAAAATAGAATAATAAAGCCCCAAGTAAATTTAATCATGGCTTGAAATGCACCTCTTTTAGTTATATTTAGATAAAAGAAGGTTGCCCTGTGTAAAGCTCAGGATAGGAATTCTTCATTCAGTGAGCTTTCCAACTAAGATTTTTTCCTTGTTTTCATTCAAGGTTCCAGCCACAAGGGAAGTTCTTTCATCACTACCAAGTGTGCTCAGTGCTCTTTGTTTGAATACCAGAGGACTCCAAGCTTTTATGAGCTGCAAGCCTTTTGACAAGTTGTTCAGAGTCCTGCTTTCTCCCGACTACCTTCCAGCAATGAGGCGTAGAAGAACCTCTGAAAGCCTAGGTATAGCTTCTTAAATACAGTGAGATACAGTAAATCATTTGAACCCAGGATTAGCAATAATTGATCATGACCTGTAGCCTGATTGTCCATGTGAGTGTAAGCCTGGAAAGGAAAGTTGTCAGTGGCAGTGACTGCTTTGCTACAACCTGAGCAGATGTGCTGCCATTTGCACGATACTATATAAATGGGAAATGAGCTCTGGATGTCATGGGCTGCTGACCTTTAAGGCTTCATCTCAAGGACATTTGTTTTATCTTTTTTTAGTGTTGAATTAGCAGTGAATATTCATGTTCTGTTTTCTGCCTCTCAGGGGAAACTGCTTCCAACCTTGGCACAGCAATGGATGAACTAATGAGACATCAACCCACTCTAAAAACAGATGCCATGATGGCCATCATTAAGGTATCTGAATTTTTTTTCCTTTTGGAAGATACGCTACGTGTAGTTATACATCTGGGTCCAGTTGTTTGAAGTCGATTAGAAATTAGGATAATTTCCTCTTATCCTTTTCGGGCATCCAATCATTAAATTGTACACAAAAAAATTAGAATGAATTTTCCTTGAAAGCTTTCTAATTGGAAATCAGATTTCACTCTAACCCTGGGTTATCTTAACTCAGCTTTGTACAACCTGGCCACAGTGTTGTGGTATTTCCCTGTTCCTAATCTGTGCCTGTCATTGGGAAAATTTTGAACAATATGACCACTGAAATCTTCACGAATTTATATGTAGAAAGGCTGTACTCCAGATGAGCTTTGCCAGTCCTGTTACTCTTCAGCACCATGCAACTGTGTACTTGAATCTTAAAGATGTACTTGTGAAGGGAAGCCACATCTGTGGCTTGAGGGCTTGCATGACCTTTTCAGCTTTGCCCATAGAACTCTTGGGTGGGCATGGATATGCATGCACATGTTGTTCTTTTATGTCCATGCAAATCTGCTATGTTTTTGAGTCAGAATTTTGATGTTTTTTTTTGATAAGATTTTTGTCAGGCCAGGTAGGCTGATATACATGGATATAAAAGAAATGTGATTAGTACCATTTAAATGAGAGAGGCCTCAAAATGTATGGTGATAGAACCGTTGATGTGTATTTTTTTTTTCATTTTGTACTCTCCTTTTAGTTGTTGCAAGAGGTTTGTAGTCTTGGTCGAGACCCCAAGTACATTGGCTTTAAGATGGGTGCTAAACCTGATGGTAGTGATACAGATAACAGTAGTACACTGGGACAAGGAACTGGGCGTGTGGCTGTTGTGAATGAGGAGCCTATGTCAGATGAAGAGGAGGATGATGACGATCGATTCAGCTTTACAAGCACCACCACTGCTGCCAAAGTTGTGACAGAAAACGATAAAATCAAGGATAACTCAAAGTATGACATCACAATATTATGTTTTAGTTCTCTAAGTGCACTGCACTTTAATGAGAAAATCAATTCCATCCAAAGAAAGAAGTTTTATTTTGCAACGAGTGAAAGACTAAGAAAAGATTTTGAATCCACATGAGGTAGCAAACCTCAAACCTTTGGATTCCCTACCTTGATGCTCTACCACTGAGCCACAGTGACTCTAAAGGGAGCTACACTGTAGGCTAGTTCTAGAATCACACGTGACTTGAGTCAGACGGAATTCCAGGATTAGCAATGGTGAAAGCTTTGTTGTATAGTATGAAGGCATGTATTATAAGAAAATGGTGTACGTTAAGCTTGGTAAGTTGTGATTGGTTTCAGTTTTTTATTTTACTGATTGCGACCTGGCACAGCTTTAGGTAACAGATAACAGATCATTACAAATACTGCTCTGTGAAGATCTATGAGAACACTACTAAGGTGTTGAGTATGGCATTTACTCTCACTTTTTTGTTTTAAAGGACTACAGAAGAAGAAAAAAGAACATTCATTCCTCTCATTGACTACATTCTGAATGTGGTATGTAGAAGCTCATTGAAAATAGTTGAGAAAAAACAATCAGGTCAACAAAGGTTTTGCATTTTTCAAGAAGACAGTACTTAGATCTAAAATTTTTATGTATTCTGAATGCTGATTTTTTTGAAGAGGTTGCGATAGTGTGTGTCTGAAACGTTTTGATGGAGGATTATCTCACCTACATGTGATAGATTGTTCTTAAATTTGTGAATGTCGTCATTTTTTCCAGGTTAGATTCGTGGACTCAATCCTTAGCAATAATTCAACTGATGATCACTGCAGAGAGTTTGTTCGTCTTGGAGGTCTGGATCCCTTGATCAACATTCTTGGTCTGCCAAACCTGCCTCTGGACTTTGTGACCTCCCCTGCCTGTCAATCCGTTTCAGGCGTGTGCAAATCCATCTTGGTAGGAATCGACTTTCTTAGTTTTTTGTCAGTTAGGGTGGAATAAAGTGAGATATAATTTGGCACCAGGGACTACCAAGGTTAAGCTTTTTTTACGGTGTCAATTGGTACTCCGTTGCTATTAGCAAATGAAAATACTAACTAGGAAATAGTAACTTCTGTTTAATAAAGGACGCAAACGTTTATCGAAATTGTGACATTTCAAATTCTTATTTCTTTCATTGGAAAGTAAAAATTTGCTAAATGAGACAACTACAGTATTGAGGCAATTGGGATTTGAATCGAAATTGACTTGCGGCCGAAATTTATTTTCATCTCGAAAACGTACTTGTAATTGTTTTGGCTGTCAACAAGAGGAACAACTCACAGTAGCAGTTACATGCTTGCTGTCCCAATTGCAATTGAACTTCCAATAAGCATTTGATTCTGAAAATATGAAAGATGAAGAAGAGGAATTTTCTTGTCTCGGGCAGAATTGTCGAGCGCCAGTAATGTCAAGAGAAGGATGCATGTACCTTGCTTCTCTTCACCCGTAGTGAAATTTGATAATAATAATTCTTTATTTATATAGCGCTATTTCTATCGCTTTTCAATGGCACTTTACAATGACTGAAATAAACATGAAATCCCGACTGGCAGGAGGCAGACCAGTTGGCTATTTACAAAGCGCAGCCGAGGAGTTGAACTCGGGGCGACCGAGAACAAATCCAGTGAGTGGCAGGGTGGAGGACTTGGACCCGGGACCACCAGGTTACAAGTCCAGCACCCTAACCACTCGGCCACGCCGCCTCCTCAATTATACGTTGCTTTTGTTTTTTTTTTGTTTTTGTTTTTTTGCGCAAACTCTCTAATGGGATTAGCTGCTAACTATTCACTGTACATTTTCCTCTCTCTCCCAGATGTTATCACATGAATCTCAAGTGTTAAAACAAGGTCTGACTCTGCTCAATGACGTGCTCAGTTCTCTGCAGCCTCTGATTTTAAGGTCAGACGAATCACCAGTATCCATTCTGCTGCATGAAGTGGCCTGTTCGGGTCGACCACAACAGGCTATGGCGTCAGTGCAGCTAACTCCACTTCTACATGGAATAGCAGCCGCGCATGCATTCATCAGTATGTTCCTTCATGTTTGTAAAGTTGGTCAGGTGAGGAGGCTGGTTGTTAGCTGTTTAAGCAGTTTTTGATTGAGTGACGAAAGTGATCCATGATTGCTTTGGTTTTGCGTAACTTTTCTCTGTGATTGGTCTGGAAAACTCACGCCACTTTCTAAGCCAATCAGATTCAAAGCTTAAACCACTCGTGATTTGGTCACCCGCGTTTTCCCGCGCTTCATGCAGTTGCCTGTTTTTACTTTGAGTTCTTGTTGGCTAACTATGATGTGGACCTGCGCTCTGAATGGCTGTTGCGATACTTTGGTTTTGGTTTTTCAAAACTCGACTGCAAACTGCTCTAAGAGCATTTAAAGTATTTTGGATTATGTTAAACTCTGTAGGAGACAGAAGCATGTGGATCGCAAGTGTATCACTCAACGCTGATAGAAGCTTCACCGAAAATAAGTGTTTCCAAGAGAAAGATGGTGACTTTTGAGCTCGATATATAACGCTGAGAGAAAAGCAATGTCTGGTTTATTCTTTGCAAACGTTGGTCCTGAGAATAATGCGAGTTTTGTTGGAAAATAAGTCTAAAGCGCCTGACTCTCCTTACGCTGGCTAGATCAGTTGTCGAATGATTAATTGTTTGCTCCTTCTACAGTTCATTGTGATATTTATCTAATCAAGTATTTTTAACAATATTTTTCTTGTGGTTACAGTTTGATATCCGCACTTTGTGCATCAATCACTGGGGTTCTGATGAAGGAATCACTGTTCTAAAGCAACTCGGTCAGTTATACATGTTCCTTATCTGGGAAACGATTGTCTTGGAAACTGTTAGCCGCTCAGATACCTCATCGGATGAAACAAAGGTTTTTGACAAAGATCTGGAGATGCTAAAAGCTTCAACTTCAGCAAGTCAGGAAGAACCTTCAGGTACAAAAAATATTTGTGGTGTATTTCACTCGGACAACATTGTAGTGATCCTCGTAGTAAATTTCGTTGCCAATTGGTTTTGGAGAATTTGGTGTGACATCAAGTCATCCATTTGGTGGATGATATGTGCACGGCCGTCTATCAACATCACAAAATGTTGCATGGTAACACTTTTCGCTTTCACTTTGAGTTTCACACAATTCCATATATGTAGGACAAAAGTTTTGGACCATTTATGTAAGCACTTCGCGGCTTGATTAAGCCGTGATCGTATAAATGGTCCAGTTCGCGTCTCATGTAAGCCGCAGATTATTTCCTTGGTATAAACGGCCCTAATACCTCCTTCTCACCACCAAGAGAAGTCACAAAATGTTGCTTGTCATTAAATTCTCTTGTCTCTTGTGATATCAGTTTGGAGTATTTGTTATTGGATCAATCTTAAAATCCCCAAATTGATATTTTTCTTTATTCTCGTCACTTTTCTGCTTGATATTGTAAATTCTGTCTTGGTCACTCACGGAAGTTAAAGGGCTTATCATGTGATGGAGTTACGTGGGCATCTATGTATTCATCTTCCTCATCATTTGACCTTGTGCAGTTTGAGATTGCAGTACACCAGTACTACTCCTTTGTCCATAAACACTTGAAGGCATCATCTTGCTTGAAAACTAAACGTGATGACTTCTAGCCTACTGGGCAGTTTTTTTAGCTTCAAAATTACCTTTTGTTTATATATATTTTCAGGGCAAACCTCGGAAGGCAGTACAGTGATAACAGTTACAAACGACAAGCCAACAAGTGGTGAAGCCAACGCCGCAAAGTCGAATCTTCTTCCTGTGCAGCAAAGAATAATAAAACAACTTCTTCAGACATCAACTGCTCTTGGTCGTGCTTTGTCAGACCTGTTTGTCCTCCTTGTGAAACTCTGTGTGGGATCTGCTCAGAGGATGCAGCGTCGAACGCCACATCTAGCAACGCCAACCCCACCAGCTTATCTCGTGGCTCTGGAGCTCAGCAAACTTTTAAAGGATGCTTTGTCCTGGCAAGGATTTCCCAGTGATATTCCAGCGCTCAAACCAAGGTAACTGTTTTGTGTGTATGCTTGTACCGAAGAATTGTCAGGGAAGGAGGGGGGGGGGGTAACTTTGCGATTGACTGAGATCCCATCTAGGGGGGAGTAGAAATACTTTCAGTCGCTTCATGATGAAGAAACCAGGATGAGCGCTGGCTGCACGGGCCTCTTGGCTCAAGCACATACTCGACTACCTTACCTCTTTGTCTTTCCACACGATGTTTTTATTTGACTATTATCATGTTTGTTATTTCCAGGTTGCACTTCTATATGTGTGTAGTCGGCTCTGCTTCACGCCTTCTGTTTGACGAAAAGAAGAACCCTTACCATCTGATGCTGCAACAATTTGATAAGTCTGGAGCACACGGCAGTCTTTTCTCGTAAGTAGGAGCTTTCGACCCGACCTAACTAGCATGGTAAATTTTATCATATAATTGCAGCTTTTTCTCCGCCTTCCTTTCTTTCTGACTTTTTTCCCATCTTGCATCTCGCGCTGGGCCATGTTTCTTTCTCGTGTCATCGCGTACAGCCCTCATAGGGGGTTTTATCTACACTGTATGATGTTTTTCAATAACAGCGCACGCTGGTTCATATAATGAAACACACCTCTGATTCTTGCTTTGTTTCACTGGTTGGTTATAGGTTGCTGAAGCTAATACTTAAGGAGAGTAGCAATGCCCCTCCCAGTGAAAGTAATACTGAAACTCTTCAAGGTGAGGGTACTCTCCAGTGGATATTTTTTTGTGGCTGAAAGTAATTGCATCTTTTTAGAGGCTCGTCATAGACATCAATTTTTAACGCCATACTGTAGTAACGTTATAGTTAACCCTGAGAGTGACCAGCATCTAATTTCTCCTTACAGTAATATGGCTAAATCATTCATTAAGATCACTAGATCAAAAGAAATGATTGCCAACCTTAAAAGCTTTGATTGTTAAACAAATTCTCCTCGTCAGTACTGAAGGAAACATATCGAGAAGAGTATGGAGAATATCGATGCTGATGTTAGGGTGTAAAGGATTAAATGAGGCGTAGCGTGCGAGCAGGCCCTAAGTATTAGCGCTTTGGCATTAGCATTTCTTTGCCCGCGAGGAGAGGTCTGGGACCCATGGTAAACCTCTCCTTGACTCGTCTCAAATCTTCCCACGGGCGGAAAAAAGCGCGTCCTGCAGCGTTAATAATGAGGGTCTGATCGTTGGTTAGATAAGTTGTGGTGCATCTAACCTCTTAATTGGAGATTTTAAGTTCGACAACTGTCGCATGCAGTCAGTTCGTCTGATCTGTTTCAACGATCTTTGAACTTTCTTGTTCAGTGTTTACAGCCCCCTCTCTTCCCCCCCCTTCTCCCCTCCCCCTTGCCTTTCCCAAAGACGTGATAGGATACTTTGTGGAATATTACATAGTGGTTGACGATTTCAATCAATATGAATTTTTGTTATTTTCAGCCGGTGCTCAGGAGCTGCTGGACTCATGGTTGACCCTAGTCAGTAGACTTGCGAATTCGGAAACCTTGTTGGATTCCCCGCACAGCCTTCCTGCTACGTCCACTGCGCTAGTTTTTGTGCCTTTCGAACCTATAAGATTTCTTGTCAAAACTCAAAAGGTGAGGTTTCAAGGACGGGCACCTTGACGACTGAACGTAAAGGAGAAGAAGAAAAAAGAAATCATCTTCGGGGATGCAGAGGCAAATCATCTGGCAAGGGGAAGACAAAACGGTGATCTCGGCCGAATGGAAAATTAACAAGCTATCTTGCCTAATTGGTTGTCTCTGAGTCTCTGAGGATGATTGGAAATGGGAGTTATCTGAAAGTAAAATTAAGTCGGATGACCGAGTTATATAGTCTACATGCGCGGTTAAGTTTGCATCTCTTCGCAAAAGGCCGTTTGCTAAGACTTACATATACTATTCACAAGTTCACTGTCAGGTACATATTGTCTTTACAGAAAGCCTTCTTAGCCGTGCAACAACTATGGGGACAGAAATTTCCCATCGAGTATGGTCCACACATGGCAGAGTCCTTGTTAGCCATTTTGTACCACATCATCAAGGGGGAAGCTGTCATTAAAGAGAAGCTTGGGCCTGCGCTCGAAACCTCCTCAGCTTCCAGTAGCGCTGCTGCTTCCTCTGCAACGACACGACAGCCTGCTGAACCAGCTCGGCCTCAGCCGGAGATAAACGTGCGACATTTACAGCAGGTGTGCTCGCATTCACTTTCTTGGTTTTCTGATACTTGGTTTTTAACTCTTTTCCTGAAATGTGAGACGGAAAAAAAGCGTGTAAAGCCATTTTTTTCAAGTTTGTATTGGATACGAGCTCACCACCCCTTAGTAGCAATACTCCCCTTCCAACCTTTGCATCTTTCAGTGTTTAACAATCACACAAAACAAAGTCATCATTAGTTGGGGGGGATGGTCACCTTGTCAGCGGTTTCATGAGGCTTGTTTTTACGTGGTTGACCAGGGCTCGAACTTAACTTTTTTGTCAGCGGCTAGTAAGATTTTTTTACATGAGGCCACTTTTCGCGAGTTTGCGAGTTACGTGGTTGACTATAAGGAAACCTTTGTTGATAATGGATGTAATGCTTGAATATCTACTGACAGGCTCAATGTTCCTACCTAATAAGTTGAAAGTATTTTTTTTCCAAAAGTCTCTTGCAGTTTTATCGTGGACTAATAACAAGCGCTTATTTTTTTAGTTCATAGACATGGGGTTCACGCATGAGCATGCCAGACTTGCGCTGATGAGTACAGGCAGCCTTGAGGAGGCTACCGATTACATCTTAACACACCCACCACCTCCTCCAGCAAGGGTACGTATCAAAAGCTGTCTTATTGATTTTTCAAGTGACCCGGCACTGCTGTATGGAGTCTGAGCACATGTTGGCTGAATGATGTAGAACAAAATCCAAAGTTATGTCAACGGCCAATCATAGCAAAGGAAAATATCAGAAGAACCAATGAGAACCAAAGTTTAGAGACAAAAACCAAAAATGGCGCTAAAATGTAAGTGACCAAGTCGCGATAGGTTACTGGTTTTTTTCCTTCTGAGTGGCCAATCAGAGCAAAGGGAAATATCACAGGAGCCAATGAGAACTCAAAGTTTACAGAGAAAAACCAAAAATGGCGCCAAAATGTGAGTGACCAGGTCACGACTGGTTTTACTTCTGATTGGTTGAGATTACGGCGCGAGATTTTAGACCAATCAACGAACGTAGAAAAGGATGAGCAATGTAGTCACAGGTTTCTTTTGACACTCAACTGAAAATTACACATGGTCGTTTTGAGTCATGTTTTGTGCTGGGCAAAACTATCTTAACTTAAAGGAGCCAAAAGAGTATTGGCCCAGCAGGTTTTTCTTTATTTGAAGTGAGTTAAGTAAAAATTGTAGTCTGCGTAGGTTGTTTTTTTTTCCCTACGCCCAGTCCACACTACTACGACCTCGGGCAAATATTCCCAATGTTGGCCCAAGGTTGGGTTTTGTACGTACCTCGCTACGCCAATATTTCCAATGTTGGCCCAAGGTTGGTTTTTGGACGGACCTCGCTACGCCCGGTCCGCTCTGCTACGACCACGGGCCAATATTCTCCATTACGTTCGGTTAGTAAGAAGTTAGTATTCAATCTAAAAGAAATGAATGTGGAAATTCCCGGTCAAGATCAAAAATGTTAAAAGATGGAGAAAATGAAACGAATTGCGAAAGACTAACTTGAAAATTGAACGTTTAAATTTCTAGATTTGTAATAGATGTGACGCAATCCCCGTAAAGAACTTAGTATAATTTGTCTATCCACAGGAACTTGGTTTGGACTATGACATGTTGGAGGAGGATCAGATGATGAGAGCGATAGCCATGTCTCTGGGACAGGACATAACTAATGCCACCGCCTCTGCTGAAGATCAGGTATGCTAACAGGATACGTGAAGTGACCAACAGCGTTGTGGCTAAGGAAATAGTAGGTTAAGATTAGAACTCAAATGGCTCAAAGGGGGATATGATTAAAAAATTGCTTTCCCTACTTTTCGCAATCCCTTCACACCGAGGCTATCCAAGTTGACGTTTACAAGATGCTTAGATAGAGGACATGGCAAACGCTAGCTCAAAACGAGATTTTATTTCAAATCCTTCGCCTATTATAGTTGCGTCAATACACTACGTAGTCAGGAGTTACAAGATGTGTTTCGATTTCAAAGGTTTGTGCGCGCGACACTTTAAAACCGTCCTTTGCCCTTTACAAAGATCATCTCTTTCTCAAACGGCGAACTCCGGCTGTAGCCGTTGCTGAACTAAAGGACTTGACCAAATAAAGAATTTATTCTTACATGGAGCAAGCGTCAGTGCTTCAAGCACTCAAGTGGCAGCTCTCCGTCTCCCTTCCAACGAAGGTTTTAAGCTGAAACATTTGAGTGTCTCAGTGGCTTATCAGAGTAGCACAATAGTTTTGCTACTTAAGCGTACGTTTCGCTTCTCTCAGTTGTAGCATTGTCGGTATCTGCAGCTCCATGCTTTATTGTGGAGTTGTTCGTAAAATCAATGCAAAAGTTATAGACCAGTTATTTTGCATCGTTGGATGGCTTGTGATTTCACTCTGCAAGTTTATCCTGGACTAAGCTGGCACATTATCTTCACTGGAAGATATTCTTCTGAATTGTTGTCTTGTCTTCCAAACAATATTGATTCTGCAAGAATAATTTTATGTGCGTCTTTCAGCTGGTGGTGATAAAAATGGAAAGTCATCAGAGAAGACTTAATCGTACAGCTACCGAATCTCTTATCCCAGTTTTGTGGGGGGGAGGGGGAGATTGGGTGAAAGGGGGGGGGGGGGTGGGTTGATCACAGCACAAAGATCCCGGCCAGGGCTCAAACTCATCCCTTTACACCTACAGCGCGCTAATCCTCCGGTTTATTCTTCGTCGCCACTGGACAGTTTTGACCATTTCCCATTTTTATTCCAGTCTGCTAGTGGTGAACCTGCTGCTACTACTGCCCCATCCACCACAGCTGCTGCTGATGCTACCTCCTCTAAGCCAGAGAAGACAGAAGAAACCAAAAAGGTTAAGGAAGAAGACAAAGAGAAAGGAGATAATGACGGTGCTGTTCCTCTAGATAAGACAGTGCTCGATCAATTCACTGCTGATATGCTGCAAGGGTGTTTGGAGGTGTTGACAGGAATGCCTGGAACTGTGTACAAAGCGTGTGATGTTCTGTCTGCTGTGGCTCAACGGAATGGCAAAGAGTGGAAAGAGAGGACCACGATGCATATTTTAAAGCAGGTATTTGAACAGTACTTCAATGGAGCAATTTCATAATGTCACATAGTTTGGACGTATTTTTCTCTTTAAATCAAAAACACCTCCCGGCACGAAGTGGTGCTTGAAATGAAGCCCCAAGTGAATTTTGCTATAAGCTCAACTTCTCCCTGTGTTTCACAAGGAAATACAAGGTGATGGGGAAGGAGAACTAAGCAGTTTATCAGAATTTACTGAGCGTGTTCCCTCAAGCGTATACTTTTTTTGGTTGGCAAGTTAATGTTTCTATATTTTCATCTGTACGCATTGGATTCTGTAGCCCTGAGCTTTGGTTATTTCGTCTGAGGGTTTCTAACTTAAGTACATGTATTATATTCACTTTCTTCAGCTCACAACAGACATTGAAACTGTGTTAAAATCCTGTGCTAACCAAGGAGCTGATAGCAAACCGCTTGAGGAACGTATGTCCAAGATGAGCAGCATGTCCGAATCAGCTCGTTTGTCGTCTCTTCTGCATCTCTTGTGCCTGCTCTTTGAGGTGAGTATTGATATAAATTTGAAAAGGGTTCTGTTTGGTCTCCAAGCGTTCAATTATTAGCCACTGATACCATAAAGCGGATCATTTCCTGTTGCTTAGCAACTGCGTATCCACCCTTCCCCTGACCCAACAATAGTCTACTGATAACAAGTTAGGGTTAATGTTTGGGTTAAGGGAGGGGTAGGAGCGTAGTTGAATGCTCAGATACTGACATTGGTCCCATTAAGCTTAACACATCACCACAGGTTTAATTACTCGTATATCATGAAACGAAAGTGTTCTGTCGCGTCTGTTTTCAGGAAAGGAAATTTCGCTGCGAGGCCATCGTTGAGACGCATGGGATTGTGAATCCATTACTTGAGCTACTTGAATTATGTCAGACTAATTTGGTACAAATCAAGTTGACTGGAAGTACTCCAACAACACCAATGTGAGTATTTTTCAAGCGGCTTCCAGTTATGGTTGGAAGCATATAGGATTCTTGCCATATTTTTTTGTCGTTGTTTGGGCTGATTGTGTAGCTCCTAAATAGCGCTACTTCCGAAAATTTGAGGTCTCTTCGGCAACATTGTTAAGTTTTCTCTAACGTAGTGTACGATAGACAGGCATCGAAAAAGTTCGAATAAACCACGAAGAGCAGCGAAGGTATATTGATGAAAAGGAAAGTGTAGGATTTTAAATGACGGACTTCAAGTTTTATGATAGATTTTAGTCTTAAACCTCTTTAACTCCCCGAAGTGATACACGTGTAACTTTTCACTATGATATCCCTACTTTATGCAACAAACGGGCGATGAGAATACTCAAACTTATCAGGTAGAGGATGTTACCTTGATCCATCACCTAATTCTCGTGACTAATTTATAGGGAAATGTTTAGCAGCTTAAGGGGAGAATTAACAAGCAGATTTTTGGGGCTAAAGGGTTAACTCGTAAAAGTTGTCTTATACGAAGCCTTATCACAAAAGGGCGTGAAATTGCGCCTAATACAGGCGCCAATGCGACTAAATTTTTCACTTTGGCGACCAAATCCTGAAAGTTAGTCGCCAAATTGGCGACTACAACGTTTCATCATAACCTTATCAAGAGATATAGTGAATTAAATAAATTTGCAAAGATAAATCCGCGGCAAACTTCCTCGTTAAGTTTGTTTCCAAAACGTAGCAGATGCATCTCGATCGATAACCAGACGCCATCTTGGATTTAGATGAGCCTGAACGTTGTATATCATACATCCTAGTGTCCACTTTGTAGCACGTTAAAGATCTTTTCCCTAACTTAATTTTGGAGGGTCTATCTAAAATGACAGCGTAAAGAAGATTTTGTTTGTCTTTGAAAATGGCGACCAAATTTTTTTGAATTGGCTACCACTTTGAAGAATTTAGGAGCCAAGTGGCTATCAGAAAAAAAAGTTAATTTCACGCCCTGCACAAGTAAAACTGTATGTATTGTGGGGTAATTTAGTGTCATCGACTGAGTTGATACCGTAAACTGGCCACCGTAAAGAGTTTCAAAGCTGACGTTTCGAGTGTTAGCCCTTCTTCAGAGAGAACGATGAAGGGCTAACGCTCGAAACGTCAGCTTTTAAACTCTTTATAATGGCTTAGTTACCTTCTCAAGTCAGTTGGTAATACTAAATTACCCTGTTATACTTTCCCACCGTCGCAGCACCACAGTTTGTCTAGAAACTTACCCCCTTTATTCATGTGTGTATTGTGGTTAGTTTTGTAGCATGTAGTTCTTAAAGGTAATGTTTATAACACATCCCACATTATTTTTTTTTTGTTCTTATCCAGTTGGTTAACTCCACTGCTGCTTCTGTTGGACACCCATGAAAAAATGGCGGTCACCACCAAGAGGAAACAACTGCATGATAAGGTAGAAATACTCGTACTTCTTAACCCTTTAACTACCAGAAGTGATTAAAATCTAACTTCTCCTTTTGATATCCATACATTATCCAGCAAACAAGTAATGAGAGTACTCAGACTTATCAGGTAGAAGTTGTTATCTTGATCTAACACCAAATTCTTGTGACTAATTTACAAGGAAATGGGAAGCAGGCATAAAGGAGAATTGACAATCAGATCTTGGGAGTTAGAGGGTTAACAGTGATCTACTGTAATTAATAGCGTTGATTTCTCTGTGTTGTGATAATGGTTTTCTTGATTAAAAGAACGAATTTTTAGTTATTGGACTTCTTTTTTTCTAACTTTCCCATTTTTTTTTTCAATTTTCAAAGTGTACTACGCATGCCTGGAAATGGTTTGATGACCGTAGTGGTCGCTGGTACAACTACAACGTTAACAACAACACAACCATCGATGCAGCGTACAGAAATGGCGATTCGCGGGTCAGGTAAGCGCTGATCAAGCACCAAATTCTTTGAAACTTTCTCCAGCAAGATACCTTTGAATCCATTTAGAGAATTGAAAGTTTGAATTCTAGAGTTGAAGAATGAATACTTTGTAGTGTTCTTCGTAATTTTAGGCACGAATTAAGTCAGATTCTTTGGTTTTCCAGGTTCATGGCTGGAAGACGGCGTTATTTGGTGAACTTTTGCACAATGGTTCAGGTTAGAAATTATTTCTTTGATTACGAGCTTGATTGATTTTACCAAGGGATACGCCTGGCTAGAAAAATTATTTCCCCTGTTTCGCTAGTAGTTTTCTATGTGATACCTCAACCATTGCATCCAGTATTCCCCTTTCGCTGTCCAAGCCCCTACGAATGATCTTAATATACTATAAATTAATTTTTATTTTGGAACTTAAAAAAGTTGCTAGCCGAGTATTTTTAACACGTTTCTAATTTTGGAAATCAGAAGGAAAAAGTGCCTCTTGTCACTGAGTCTTAGTCTTCAATATGTTACGAGTGCATCTTTCACAGCGTAGCCCGTTGCACCAATCAGTTGTTAGAGATCTGCGCAAAATGGTATCCTGACGCTGCGTGAACTCTTTGACTCAAGGAACGATTATGAAGGGATTGAGACACGTGAGTGGTCGGGGTAAATGCAACACCACACACCAGGCCAACAGCAATGAAATGTGAACAAATTAAGGCCGTCAATAACTTAAGTTTAACACTTTGACTGGAAAATTTGATGGCTTGCCATCCAAACCATAGTCTCTGGTACTAAGAGATTCCTTTTTTCCCTTAAGTTAAAGTTTGATTTTTGGTGGAGATATGGCATTGTTTTTGTGACTAAAATGAGAAAATTGTTTATCCAAAGGTTAATGAAGACTCCGGTAACAGACGTCCAATAATGCTGGAAGCAGTCACCAATCCAGGTAATGGTGGTTCAGGAAGCGGCAGAGGTGAAGTGGAGAGCTCTTCAAGCAGCAGCATTGCTGATGGTGCTAAGGGAATTACTGAAGCTCCTCCGACCAGCTCACAGGAAAAGGGAAGCAAGAAAGCGAAGAAAGACAAACAAGAAAAGAGTAGTTCAGGTAAGAAACTGGTGCAGTTTCTCTTTACTACGCCTTGATTGATTGATTGTTTTAGTGAACGCGCGCCACCGTCTTAAACAATTATGATAAAAGATGAAAACCAACCGCGTCTTGGTGACATGCGTTTTTCCGCGCTCGACGTAGTTTGCTTGTTTTTAGTTCGGGAGGTTAAGCGTGAGCGTTTCTTGACTGGTATCGGACTGCAGCCTGAAGCTAAGCCTTCGTTTCCATGGTGTTCAATACAGTAGCGTTTAGCGAAAGATGCGAAAACAACGACTTGTCAAATTATTTGTTGATGTCAAAGCTCGTCAGAAGCATTGCGTTGCCCTTCCGATAAGCACTATCAACAGCCGCTTTTCGGGTAGTCGGATCACGCTTTTTCTCAGGGGGATCAAAGACTGGACCCGAGTTAACCGGTGGAAATCAGGCCTATCCTTCCAATGGCTATCGGCATGTTAAGTTTAACAAAGTCTCTGCTCGAGTTCTCTTCGGATTTTTTTATAGCTACTTCGGTTATTTATTTATTTTTTGTCCTGAGTGGCTGTTGGGATTACTTTGGCCTTCGTTGAACGTGATGTCATAGAAATGCTTCCCATGGTGATGTAGCGAGTAAGCTGGCATTTGCCTTTTGATGATCTTTTTTTCAGATAAGTTTAAACCTGACAAGACTGAGGAAATTTTTATGAAACATTTAAATGATGACCAAAAAGCTCTTATAATAAGGTATGTTTAAGATTAATAATCTGAGCCAGGTTTTGATAGATCTAAATCAACAGTTCTTTCGTCGTTTTGAAATGAGCTAGTTGTGACGTAACAAATTGCTCTTCTGGAAGATTAAAACCGGCGAGGAAACACGAGAGAAGCGTGTTCTCCTCGCTTGTCCTCGAGGTCTCCTCGGAAACTGCACTTAAGTGTATCATTGTACAGTCTACCCAACCTAACTGAGATTCCAGACTCTTTTTTTAAGCTTTACTCGCCTATATTTAGAGAATCTTTATCCATTTAAGGTGCTGTACATGGTTAATTGGTATTCCTGTGTCACCAAACACCCTACACGCAGTTCTCAAACTGTGCCTCAGGCTCACTCAAGAGCACAAATACGCGGTGCAGTTCGTTGAACAAGGAGGAGCAAGAGCCCTTCTTTTACTAACACAGGACTCACAAGTAGCCGGATTTGGTACGCTGGCAACTCTTCTCCTTCGACACGTATTGGAAGACGAAGAAAACTTGAAACATGCCATGGAAAAAGTTGTGCGGTCCTCGGCCTCGAGCAGTGTCAGTAGTCCTGTCACTGGCGTAAGCCAAAGCTCACCAGGAGCGAAGGAAATTAATTATGTTTTACGAGTTTTAGGACCTGCCGCTTGTCGCAATGCTGGACTTTTCAAAGAGGTAGCCACAAACTCGCTCCGCTTAGCTATAACACCGCAATTACGCCGGACGATGATCGAAGCCGGCGACACGAACTTACCCGCGAATTACGCGCAGATTGTCAAAGCTGCCGTCGTTGCGAAGCCTTCAAAGCCGCCTCCAGTGGCAAAGCAGGTTCACTGCGTTGTCTACGACTTGTTGAATGTGTTATGTGCGTCGGACAACACAACCAGGACAATGGATAGGGGAATACTTATGGCGCGCTCTGACAGCCAAGTGCTCGGAGAGCTCGGGCGTGCGTTAGGGCAGGTTGGCGACCTGATCGCTGGCGTGAGTGGCCAGAGTTCTCAGCAGAATCTGGCGGCTAGGCAGCTTCCAGCGTACACCAGACAGCTGACTGGAGAGGATGTTGAAGTCGAAGAAATGGCTCTTGGTAAGTAAATTTCCTTGATTTGACTCATTGGCTTGATTTGATCAAAATATGTCTTTCTTTCTGGATACATTGCTCAGCGGTAAGGCGAAGAGAATAACAAAAGCAATAAATGTGAGATTGTGTTTTGAATTATCGCGAAAAATTCTCAGGACAAACTTATAACGGAATGTGAGATGGGCAGGTCAGGGAAGTGGCTTATTGAAATTTGTGCGACAAACTTTAGAGAGTAAGTCTGAGTGACAAATTTGCGAAGCAGATGTCAGGCGTGCCAGCACAAATAGTTAAAGCACATGAAATGTCTTGTCGAAAAGTACAACACACTGGACTTTTTGATCCGGATTATAACGCGCTAACTATTGCATCATCGCTTTTCCTAAACTATCCGTGGTCTAAGTCAAGTCTTTGTGGTTTCAAACGCAGACTCCTCGCAGAACAGCAGTCAAGGTGGTTTACTGCTGAAAGTCGACGAAAAGAAAGAAGAAAACACTAAGGAAGAAAATAAGGATTCTAGTAAAGATGTACAGACTACGTCCAAGCCTCTGTTATCAAAGTCATCCATTTTAAAGCTGTTAGCGGAGCTGGTCAAGTCTTACTCAGGAGTAGCACAGCTTATCACAGACTATAGTCATAATGCCAAGCTGTCCTCAGCATCGGAGGTGAGTCATATTGTACAGTCAAATCGTGACCTGCTTACAGACTGAATTATTGACTGACGGATTAACTGACTGACTGACGGATTAACTGCCTGACTGACGTATTGACTGACGGACGGATCGACTGACTGACTGACTGACTCACCGATTGACTGACGGCTTGACTGACTGATTGACTGACTGACGGATGGACTGACTGACTGACTGACAGACTGACTGACGGATGGACTGACTGACTGACTGACTGACTAACTCATAGACTGACTGACTGACTGACAGACTGACTAACTCATAGACTGACTGACGGATTGACTGACTGATTGACTGACTAACTCAGACTGACTGACGGATTGTCTGACTGACTGACTGACTGACTGACTGACTGACTGACGGATGGACTGACTGACTGACTAACTCATTGACTGACTGATTGACTGACTGATTGACTGACTGGCGGATGGACTGATTTACTGACTAACTCATTGACTGGCTGACGGATTGACTGACTGACTGACTGACTGACTGACTGATTGACCTGCTGACGAGTTGACTGAATGACGGACTGACGGATTGACTGACCAACTGAGTGGCTGACTAACAGATTCACTGACTCACTGACTAAGTGACCACCTGACTGATTGAATGACGAACTAACTTACTAACAAATGATGAAAGGGGGTATGTTTCCTAAGAAACTGTGGTGCTGCGTCGGTGGGAGAGTAAAGCAGGTAATTTAGTGTTAAGAACTGAGTTGAAAACGTAAGTTGACCACCGTATAAAGAGTTTAAAGGCTGACGTTTCGAGCGTTAGCCCTTCGTCAATCGCTCTGACGAGGGGCTAACGCACGAAACGTCAGCATTTTAGCTATTTACGGTGGACAATTTACGTTTTCAACTCAGTTGTTAACACTAAACTACCTAACCTACTAACAGACCGACTAACCGACGGATAGACTGAATAAAAGACTGACTTGCTGACATTTATACTAAGTGGCTGAATTACAATATGACTTATTGACTGTTTTTTCTTATTACCAAAGTATGAAGGACCAGTGCTAGCCTTCGTTCTGGACCACCTTCTCCCAGCTGGAACATCAAGTGATGGCGAAGACACACCATCGTGCGCTCGCACTCTTCTCGCGACCATTGCTACCTGCCACCAGGCACCCGAAGCACAGCAGACCCTCATAGCAGAGATGAAGGCTTCTCTTGGTCGGGCTTTAAACGTTCCAGAGTCTACAACAAAACACTCCAGACTTCAAGCGATCTTCACATTAGTGCAAACCATGATCGAGAACGGCCCTCACTCAGCTGCTCAACACGCAGCGTCGCAGCAGCCCAACAATGTTATGAAATTGCTGCTGAAGAAAGGACTAGTGAACGATTTAGCTCGAGTTCCTCACAGCTTAGACCTGGCCAGCCCGAATTTTGTGACCACAGTCAACTGCCTGCTGAAGCCTATGGAGAAGTTATCTGGTGTGGTGAATCAGCAGAGTACAGGGGCAACCCCATCCGTGGCTCCTAAAGACAGAGTTACTGGTGGCGATCAGCAGACAAGAAGTAGAGAAGGAACAACAACGGAGTCAGATTCACGACAGGAATCTTCAATTGGTAAGTTGTTGTGTCTTTGAATTTCAGGCCTGTTCTGCAATAAACTGTAGTTATGCTTAGCCCCCATTTTGATCGAGTGCAATAAAACCAAAACTGAAAAAGGTCTCGTGGTAATAAGAACAAAGGAATATTGCGCTTTTCAATTGTTGTAAAACCAAAACCAAAATTATCACAAAGACCAATGAGAAGGAAGGAAAATACCTTAAAGAGCCAATCAGAAGGAAGGAAAATACCTTAAAGAGCCAATCAGAAGGAAGGAAAATACCTTAACGAGCCAATGAGAACTCTAAGTAAAAACAAGTAAATTGCCTGAAGCGCGGGAAAACGCGGGTGACCTGGGCATGATTGGTTGTAGTTTTTAATCTGATCGGTGAAGAAAGTGGCGCGAGAAAAAACAATTCCCGATTACTATCGACACTCAGTTGAAAACTGCTCTATCACCATGAGTGACTAAGACAGAATTTCTCCTTACAATGTCAATACAATATCAGACAGATAAGTGATGAGAATAAAGAAAAGTATCAATTTGGGGATAATTAGTCGATTCAATACTAAATTCTCTGAACTAATACCATAAATATTGTATGGTTGACAGTAAAGAGAATTACAAATTTGATATGGGAGTTAAAGGGTGAAAGCACAACAAGATGAAGAATAGCAGGTCTCGATGAGTTTTAATTTTAGGTTCTGATTGGTCGAATCAGTAGCACGAGTTTTGACGAAACACAACCCCTGAGTTTTATTTTTCTTCTTTTCTTTTGATCAAATTGACCTGACACTGTGTTTAGGTCAATCAACCGGAGGAGCCACTGAACAAGAAGCACAGGATACCCAACAATCGACGGACACCACACCTGGGCAAGGTAAAACAAATTGATTAGTATTTAGAATGTCACCGGCAAAAGGTCTACCTTAGCTCTTCAAAATTTCTAAACTTTACTATTAGTGTGTGAATTTGACGTGAAATAATAAATGCTGAAAAAAGAAAGGCTTACTCGGGAAGAATTTGCGTTAAAATGTTAGCTTAGTTTACATCAGTTAGTCGTCATCAATAATTTCATTGCATGGGCTGTTCGTCATGTAAGCTTTACTCAAGTGACCAAGTCGCAATTGGCTTTGGTTTTGGATCTGATTGGTTAAGAAACTGGAGTTTTCTGGTGCGAACAGCATGGAAAGAAACAAAAAGCAAACCCAAAGAGATCAAGGATTTCTTTTTTGACTTTCAGTTGAAAATTGCTGTAACTGGCCGTTGTGATTACTGTAAGGTTTTCAATCAGTTTTTGTGCCTAGGGCCAGGCCTTGGCCGTGGTTTATTTCATTCATTCGCAAATCGCACGACGCAATTCGCAGTTGAACACCAGGCTTGGCCTGTAACCAGAATCAAATCTGGTATACGTGAATTATTTTCCAGCTGCCGTGAGTGAAGGTTCCTTAGGATCTGATCCTCCACCTGTCAGTACAGCGCCAAGTGCCAATTCTTGGGGACTTCCTGAAATCTCCAGCAGGTCAATTATTCCCATGGCTTCAGAAGAGGAACTTGAAGAATTGCAGGATATGGTGGACGAATTACTGCACTCAGATAGTAACGAAGGGCAGACGGGGCAAGGTAGGGTTTTCGTATGGAAAGCCCGTTTGCTTTCGTTCCACCCTGTAGTTTTACCACTCAAAGCCACATTTTGAGTTCTAAATCTTTTTTAGTAGATCTTGGCCAAGCGTGGAGGCGGTCCCACGCTACAAAACGGAGGGAAGGGTGTATTCCCCCTCGTCAGAGCATATCCTGTTGTCAAAACCAGATGTCCCCCCCTCCCCTCCCCCCCGCTTCAAACTATAATGACTTCAAAAAACCAAGAATCTTCGCACTAGGAGGCGTAAACCTATACCCCAAGATAATGATTGAAAGATAAACAATGTAACGCAGAATACAAAACAAAAACGAAGTCTCAACGTTACATAGCAGGGTATCCGCGGGTTTCGCCCATAACGAGTTTCGCCCAAGAAGCGTTTCGCCCATAACGAGAATGGTTTCGCCCAGGCATAAATTCGATTCGCCCAGACTGACAGTCAGTGATTATCCAGGCTAAGGGCCTCTTTAGACATATGCTTTAGATGAGCCCGGTAACCGGGCTTTTGTTTTCTGTTCATACAATGTTCATTCATAAGCTGGCGTGCGGAACTTATCAAGATTTGCAATGATATGTTCCACGCGCAAGTGTTTTCAAAACCGTTTAATTTACTCGAGAAGAAAAGTGATAAAAAAAATCGCAATGCTTTTACGACAAACGGACGTCTCTGCAGTATTTCGTGCGCGAATTAAACAATCCCCACTCCACAGTGAAAGCTATAATTGACTTGTTCGTTTCAACAGTAACTTGTTCGTTTCAAAATTTCATGATCTCAGGTCAAGTCACTTTTCTTCATTCTGTGCATACAAACGTTTATAAGGTTGACGTTTTCCGAGTGAGTGTAGAAGTTTTACTTATGGGCGAAACCTTTATTGTTCTGGGCGAAACCATTCTCGTTCTGGGCGAAACGATATGTGCGAAACTCGTTATGGGCGAAACCCGCTATAACCCATAGCAGTCTCTTACCTTGCTAAGGACTGCAAATTACAAACTGTAATCCTTAGACTCTCTGTAAGCCTGTTCTTCTTGTGTGCCGACATAACATTAATATTTCCAAAATTGTAATCATCTTTAATTACATTGTACAGATATGGACAGCGGCATTATTGCCGAGCATGTGATGACCCGTCGTATGGCTGACGGCCGCGTGGTGGCGGAAACCACCTATGTGATCGACCCCAACACTAGTGACAGCGATGATGATGACGACCACAGCTCTTCCAATGGCGAGGACAGCGGTGGGGAAGGGGTGGCGGACGACACGGACGAAGAAGAAGGAGAGGAAGATGGAGAACGAGGAGATGATGATGAAACTATGGTGATCACGTTTGAAGAACCTGCTGGTAATAACGATGATGATGATCACGATGATGATGATGACGAAGACGATGACGACGACGATGACGATGATGATGACGACGATGATGACGAGGAAGAAATCAACATAGGGAACAACACAGGAGGTTTGTTGATTTAAGTAAATTTTTTTCTTTAAATTGCATACAACAGTGTTCCCAACTCGTGCGTTCTTTTCCTCGATTCTGATCATGAAGGTGTGACTCGACTTCGCCAAATGAAGTAATACGGGATTGCTTTGGTTTTACTTACCTTCGCTTTCTGATTGGTCCCTAAAACTCGCACCATCCTCTCAACCAATCAGATGCAAATATAAAAATAAACGCGACGTGGTCATTCGCATTGTCCCTCGCTTCAAGCAGTTGGCTTGTTTCACTTTGAGTTCTCATTGGCAGATTATAATCCAACCTCTTTCAGATTGGTCGCTGAAATTACTTTGGTTTTGGTTTTCCGATACTGTATTGGTTTTTGTGGCCTTAATTAAAAAGGAATTAGCTGGAATTGAAAATGTTCGCAATAAAGCGGTAGAGATAGGGAACCACAAAGGTCAAAAAATTGCATAGAAGGACTTACTAATGGACGAGGAAACGGGCTGGCAAATATCTCTAACTTTTTTGCCTTCTGAACGAACTTTTTTTTCTTTGAACGTCAAGGAACCTATAGAAAAGTCTTTCTGCTTCAGTCTCATCACCGTTTTTAGGGCACGAGAGGATTAACAGTAAATAGTTCAAAGAAACCTCCCCACACTGTCTTTTGAGACCAATCAATTTGTGTCTCAGTTTCGCCATGATAAAAAACTGAATATCTGTTTCTAGACTCGTCTAGAACACTTTCCGATTGAGTGTCGTCGGACTAAAACTAAATTAAGCACAACGGCAGATCACAACAAAAGTCATACAAAATGAAAGTGCAGTAAAGTCATCGCTACTCATTTGAAAATGGTTGTAATCTTCAGGTGTTATTGGTGCGAGAGAGGGTGGAGTGATAGAGGAATCTAGTGGGGTTGATGTGATGGAGGAAGAGGGAGAGGAAGACGATGATGACCATGATGAGGATGAGGACGAGGGTGGCAGTGACATGGATGAAGATGGCGCTGACATGATAGGAGACGACTCTTTCAGAATATATGAGGAGGATGCAGTTTACCTCCCGTTTGATGAAGGCTCAGGTTTGTGATAATCCAGATACCAGCATCTGACTTTTTTGTCGTGAATCTGTCAGTCAATTAGTTTATGTTGAGCGAAGTATTTTAGAATGAATTCTAGGAAAAACACCAGTTTTCTCTTTGTGTTGTTTAGGTCGTCATCTGGAGTTTGTGAGTGGTCCTCATGGCAACAGGTTTACAGGCACGTTCATGATGACTATGTCCCAGGATGATGAACCCGAGACGATATCCAGCATGGCACAGCGACTGTCCCGTGTACACGGTCTCCGCATGACCCCCAGGCACCACACACAGCAGTCACAGTCGGTCCATTCATTGCATCCTCAAGGCGTGACTCAACCTCCTCTGCCCGCCGTGATCCAGAATCTCCTCGGGCCGGAGACTTCCGATGGGCTGCAGTTTAACACCAGTTAGTCTTGAGTCACAGTAGTTCCCTTTTATCTTTACTTCCCCTTGAGTTGTAGTTGCAAGAGTCAAACTTTTACTCCAATGAAAAAAGGAGATATATTTACTGTGGCTAATGGCTGATATAACACGCGCTGTGATTGGCTAAGAGAAAGAGCAAAACAAAGAGCTACGCTCGTACATTGTCATCTTTAACCTATGCTTTAACCCTTTACACCCTAACATCAATATGCATATTCTCCATACTGTTCTTTATACATTTCCTAAGGTGCTGACATGGAGAATTTGTTTGCCAATCAAAATGTTCCTTCCCTGGTGACCATTTCCTTCATTCTCATTTCCTTAACGTGTGATTCAGGAGTGATATTGTAGGAAGAAATTAGATACTAGTCATTCTTTGGGCTTAAAGGGTTAAGTAGATTTTATTCTATAAACTGTTGTGTTTTACAAGGATTATCAGCCCTGAAAAAAAAAGCCGTGACCACACGCGTAAAATTACGATAATTTTTCATGTGTGTTTGATATTGCCAATCAGCTGCTGACACGTCACTCGACTTTCGCCTCACTCTGTAAGGTTGATAAATAAATGGCAAAGAGTTCGCCATTCTCAATCTAAGTTCGTTTGTCGAAATTTTCTCGGATTATGGCTGCTAACATCACTGAAGATTCGTATCGCTTACAGACAGTGACGTTCACTTGAGTCTCAAGGAAAGACAGTTTAAAAGAATTATTTTCCTTACAGGTGCAAGTCACAGAGGCAGGCATTTGGTTCAAGATGAGATTCAAGTTATAGCAAGAAGCACTGAAGATGGTGGACCAGATGAGATCTTCTTTGAAAACTTCAATGAAGGTGCTCCGTCTTCTGTGCCATCTGCTCTAAGTCGTTGGGCTGAAGAAGGCCAGATTTTGGATGCACAAGGCGTTCATTACTGCGTGGCTGCGGTGAAGCCTGAAATCTTGCCCGTCCTGTTGAAACATCAAGCTGAGGAGATCGCCAAAGGAAGGGAGGAAGAGCAGAAGAAGAAGGCAGATGCTCAGGCAAAAGCTGCTGCTGCCAAGAAGGAGGAGGAAGAGAAGAAGAAGCAGGGTAAAAAGGAGAGTAATGGAGAGTCATCCACAGCTGTCGAGGAACAGAGTACAGAAGGAGAGGCATCGAGTGCATCTGAAGCGCAGAGTGAAGTGATGCAGGTTGAGCAACAGCCAGCAGATACAGCGACAGAGGTGGAAGCTACGCCATCCGAGCCAACACCCACAGAAGATGCATCCATGCTAATACGAATGTACATGGATGAAACTTCCACAGAGGCTCCAGCGGCATCCACTGATCAAGCTATGGTAAGGACTTCTACCCCCGTCAGTGAAAGTGAACAACATCCCTCGTCTGTGTCTCCGGCAGTAGTACCTGCTACACCTGCTAGCTCTGTTGTTCAAGATATCATCAGTGCAGCCACAGCGGAAGCCGCCAGTGTGAGTACTGGAGAGGAGGCTGCTACACCAGCTATTGGGAGCCATCTGGGTTCACTTACTGAAGCGGAAAGCACAGAACAAGAGGCTGCAGAGCAAGAGGGTGATTCTTCTCCCATGGCTCTTGAAGAAGAAGGGATGACTACGGCAGCAAGTGGTAAGTTTTGATGAAGATATCTGTTGGCATTCTATACAAGATATCATTATGCAAAGATATTGAACTTCTCCTGTGGTTATGTTTTTGAAAGCTTAACCATTTACATCCTAACATCTTAATGGATATTCTCCATACTGTTTCCTATACATTGCTTAAGGTACTGACAAGGAGAGTTTGTTCAACAATCAAGGGCTGCTTTAGTTGGTGGTCCTTTCCTCTATTCTTGTTACCTTAATATGTGATGGGGGGGGGGGGGGAATTATTGAACAGAAAACTGACTGTTAGTCACTCTTTGACATAATGGGTTAAATTAAGATCTCTTCTCTCACTCAGCTGACCTTACAGAACCTCCCCAAGCCGTCATTACCACACCAACATCAGAGGCAGAAGCAGAAGCTGGGCCTGCAGCAGATTCGGAGCAGCCGGGCACTAGTGGAGAAGCTGCAGCTTTAACAATAGATGGGATCCCCATCCCTGACGGAGTCGACCCTTCGTTTCTGGAGGCCCTGCCAGAGGCCATTCGGCGTGAAGTGCTTGCTGAGCAGTTAGGCCTGCATCCCCCTCCAGCCTCACAGAGGAACACTGCAGCAGACGAGAATGAGGGGAGCACTGACCTCAATGTGAGCCCTGAATTTCTGGCAGCTTTGCCTCCGGATGTCCAAGAAGAGGTGCGTCTACTTGTCTCCTGAGAATGAATACTTTGCAATTTTACTTTTACTTTAGGTTTTTGCGTGCTTAATTTTGCGAACTTCATGACAGATACGTCAAAAGCGCCAAAATGTTCTTCGCCATAATCCAACTAAAGTGAACTTTTCATATTCGACTGAAATTACTCCTTAGCTTAACAGCACTATACAATTCTGAAATAACGGCGTGTCTCTCCCACAGTGAAGCCTTCTTATTGCTTGTTTGTGTGTTACAATGTAGCTTTCTTTCGGTGATTAAATCTCGCAGTTTATGAACCGCGAACGTACGTAATTGATGCTTGGCAGGTGGAGTCATGGGCTTTGAGGGAAAATAAGACATCAACCTACGTTAGTGTTTTGTATCGCTAAATTTCCCTTTTCTTTAACAGTGTCGCTGTTCAGGTTTAGAGGGTATTTTGCGGCGGTACTATTTGAGATATATTTGATACCAGCAGCCATAGTCGTTGTGCTGTGTTTTTTAGCAAGACAGCAGACCTTTAGAGTGCTCCTCTACACGTAAGAGTTGGAAGGGGTAGCGGTAAAGTTTTAAGAAAACTTGATGTTGTGCAGGGTGCTACTGAGATTAGCCAGAGTCCTACCCAGGTGCAAGAATGCTATGTATGCATATTCTCCTTACTGTTCTTTATATATTCTAACGATACTGGAAAGGAGAATCTGTGGAACAATCGGGAACCTCTTGCGTTTTCTAGATACTCGCAAGGAGAATTTTTTCAGCAATCAAGAGATCAAGAGCTTATTGAGTTGGTGATCTTATCTTTTTTTTTTCTCCTCGTGACCTTGAAGTTTGATTCAGGGTTGAAGGTGGAAGGAGAAATTAGATGCTAGTCACTTCAATAGTTGTAAGGCTTAACTTCTCTTCTTTTGGTTTTCAGGTCCTTCAGCAGCAACGCATCGAGCAAGAAAGACGGCGCAACCAAACAGCCACTCCTGAGCAAGCTGTTGATCCGGGCTCTTTCCTTCGTAACCTCGCCCCCTCCTTGAGGCAAACAGTTTTGGCAGACATCGACGACTCTCTTCTTCCTTTACTACCAACTGACTTAGCCTCCGAGGCCCAGACCCTACGGAGGGAGATAGAAGCCAGGCATCACAGGCTGCTTCAGGAGCGTTTTAACTTCGGAAGTGGAGACAGAGCATCGGCGATTTCAGCTCTATTGCGTCACTCCGCCTTGTCACGCCACGGAGGAGGGTCCCATTTTGCCAGACTGCTTCCCTCGGGTGGTGGGTTAAGTAGCAGGGGTACAGGGTTTTCGAACGGTCCTTCGTACCTCCCTCCTCCAAACCGTAAGATAGTTGGACGTCATTTACTGGATCACGAGGCTCTGGTGTGCCTCCTTGTGCTTCTCTTCGTGGAGGAACCTCGCCTAAATACTGGACGTTTGCACAAAGTGCTTAGAAATCTGTGCTATCACGAGGAAACTCGGACATGGCTTATAAGTGCCATGATTTCGATTCTAAGGAGAACTAGCGGGCAAACCTCAGACGGTTCTTGCCCTGTTCCTTGCGGAGAGAGTTCATCACACGCGGAGGCGTCGTCTTCGTCGATGTCTGAGCCTGTGAGAACCGAGAGTCCTTGTAGACTCGATGAGTACTTGCTCACTCGGGAACAGAGTTCTTCTGATTCTAAAGCGTCAAAGCAACAATCGTGGCTGTCGTTCGGTGTGCGCACGTCTTTAGGATCACGGACAAATGTGTTTGCTATAAAGCGGCAAGGAAAAGTCGGACAAGAACGCAACACGCTCGTTAGCATACACCCTCAAGCTTCGCAGTTCGTTTGTAAGCATGTTCTCGACGCGTTATTGTTCTTAGCGAAAAGCTTTCCTGCTAGTTTTGCTCCGTTTCAAACGCCCGCAAAATTGCATCCGTCGTGTAGTAAAGATGATAGTTCGTCGACAGAGGGAAAAGCGGCGGGCTCTGCTTCCCAAGACAGCACAGACTTTTGGGATATATTGCTCAAACTCGATACCGCTGGAAGCGGAAGAAAAGGGAAAAGTGCAGCAAAGACAAGTGCGAGTCAAATTAGTTTATCTGCGACGAATGATTCACCTTTAGAGGAGTTTTCTTCGTCGCCTATTGGACAGCTCTTAGGTGCACTTGATGAACCTGTCGTACAAGGAAGCGTCGTGGTGACAGACAAGCTTTTGCGATTGTTATCAGTAACGTCTGCGGCGCTTCCAGACGTGCCCGTAAAATCAAGCAGAAAATTTGAAAGCTGCGAAACTGCGGCTACTGAAGCAGTCCCTGCTGAAACTTCAGCGCAGGCGCCGACAGGAGAACCGGTCACCCAATCTATGAATTCTACAGGAACCGTGACAAATGTGACCGTGTCAGTTCCAGAGGATAGTGGGACACCTCATCACGTGACTGTTGATACCCCCTGCTCGGAGACTGAGTCAGTGGCTTCGTCGCTTATCGTCGAACGCTCATCTGAAGCGGGAGGCGAACCACATGAGGTGGAATCACTCGACGGTGGGTCTGTTGACGAGCCGCTGTCCCACCCCAGCGAGACTTCTTCTCATCCAGGGATGGTGGAGCCCATGATAGTCGAAGTGACACCCCCTCTTGGTCCGCATGCTCCGGCTTCTAATGAAGAAAGCTCGCTGCTGACAATTACGACAGCTACAGTAGAGGCGGAGGCCGCGGGTAAGGAGATTCCAGACCAGAAAACGTCCATAGTAAAGGAAGGGGAGTTGCGACTGGTAGTGAACGTCCTTACTTCTGGGATGTGCTCGGAAGAAGGGCTTGAGGATGCGACCACACTTCTGCTCCAAGTTTCTCGCCTGAACCCGCAAACTCGTGACAGTGTTTTACAGCTGTTATTGGAGGGAGCTCGGAGAATTGGACAGACATTGCAAGAGAACATTGCTGTGCTACTGAGTGAATTGATTGAACATAACAGGAATGCTCCACCGAAGGACGAATCTGACCTTAAGAAAGGTGAAGATGAAACCTTGTTTGTATTTTCCAATTTAATTGAACGAGAAATGAGAGCTTCGTCTAAGGCAGGTGAATAAGAGATCGTTCCAGACCTCAACGGAAGACATTCGCTCCTCTCTGCGCGATAGCTATGACGTGAAATGCTCCATGTACTATTTTCGAAAGTCATCAATCCAGCCTCATCTTTGCGATGACCACCTCCTTTCACCCAATGACTTTATTATCATGACCAGTTTTCATAGCTAGTCGACACCCCTGTTGTCGTGTTTTCACTTTTTTTCTCGTCGTAGTGTTGTAGAACAGGGACCAAGCACCACTTTTGGCAAACGTTGCATGTTTCAGTCACTACAGTCGTATGATTTTTATTTCCAGTAGATAGATTATTATTTTAGGCTAACAGATCACAACTTCTTTTAATTCATAGGTAAGAGACCGGCCTCTCTAGTACTTCCCAGTGCTCCTCGTAGGCCAACAAGGGGCGGTCACCAATCTGGCTGGGCGACCATGCCTGCTGGCTCGAGGGCCAGGCAACAAAATAGACAAGTGCGGTACGATCTTCATCTGCCGTCCATGCCCGCTCTCACCTGCAAGACTTCCAGTCAGGCGCTGTTACTGAGAGTTCTTAAAGTGATTCTTCAGCTGAGAGAAGCGGCGAGGAAGACTGCATCTGGAACGACGTCGGCAAGAACAAGAAGTGCACAGAGGAGGGGTGAGTTTGCACTCTTTTATTCACGAAAATTTGGGTTGGAAATTAAAGATTAAAAAGAGAAACTTTTAACTCTTTCTACCCCCAAGTGTGATCTAATTTTTTTTTCTTCCTTCGAATACGACCTCAATTTTTGCGCGTAAAGATGATGAGAAAAACGAACAACATCAACTAGGGGATAATGTTTGATTTTACCCTTTAACTCCCATGCGTGACCAAGACAGAATTTCTCCTTACAATATCAATATAATATCAACCAGATAAGTGATGAGAAAAAAGAATAATATCAATTTGGGGATGATTAGTTGATCCGATACTAAATTCTCCGAACTAACATCATAAGAATTGTATGATAGGTAGTCAGGAGAATTACTAAGTAGATCTTGGAGTGAAAGAGTTAACACCAAACTCTCGAGGCTAAGATGATTACAAGTATATGACAAGCAGTAGGGGAAGTGAATGTTTTGATCGTGGCAGTGTTAGGATTTTATTTGTAACGGGCGGGGGTCAAAGAAACTCCCAGTCCACCATGAAGATTTGAATGCAGGCCTGTTCCGATTTTTCCGGTCAAATACTTTACCTATAAAGTCACTGAGGATTTGCTTACAAGCCAGAACATACACTCGGTTGAGATTCGACACAGCCCCGTGTTCCGCCCGTATCTTACAACAGTTTATGTCGAATTCCAGTCACAGATGAGAGTTCAGTGGTCCAGCGTCTCGTGCAAGGATCGCGTGGTTTAGGTGCTGTGATAGCCGCCATAGAAAACGAGGCGGAAGCCATCTTTGAAGCATTCTCGCACATGCGTGCTCTACGCTCCGAACACCACGGAGATCAAGCGAGGGTTGGTGGACCGCGGAATGAACCGGCACCTCAAGGGGGGAGGAGTCAGGATGGAAACAGATCTGACGGGAGTGCCCAGGGGGGAGAAGGTGAGTTGTTTTGATGTTTTAAAGAAGGGGGACGAAGAATGCATAAAGACGGAATGTTTTGTTGTATAATCCAATGCATTATTAAAGTATTTTCATGGAAAACTAATGTTTTTAGATCATTTACCAGGTGCGTCGACATCAGGAGGTACAAACGAACCCGACTTACCGCTACTGAGCGAGCAGATCACCCTGGAAGAGCTGTGGGAGACGTTAGGCGAATGCTTAGCGGAGTTGGGCCGAACGTCCGACAGTCACGCTGTACTGGTACTGCAACCCGCTGTTGAGGCTTTCTTTCTTGTCCACGGCACAGAAAAACAGGTTATTACTGCATTTGTGGCACTTTCTTTAAAACTAAGCCCAAAAAGTGTTGTCACCGTTGCAAAAATCTTGATTACTTTGCTATTTTAGGCCAAAAACCACCCCGCCAAAAATTACGTCCCACTATTAAAAACAGGTCGATTTTTTTTTAAACTAAGTTTTCTTGCGTAAACCACTTGCCCATCCGGTATCTTGTTTCAGTCGATTTGCATGTAAAGGCTGAATCAATCGATGAATTGACCTTATTTACTTACAAGGTAAAATTTCAGTGTTAACAAAGCCAATTCTGAGTGCAGCAAGAAATATTCACTATTTCAAAATTACCAGCGGATCAAACAAAATAAGGGGTGAAGAAATTTGCCGCGAGTTAAGCTTCTGCTGATCACCCTTTTTTCGCTCGTTTTGCGTCCCTTCCTGTGCACTATTTTAAGAAAAACTTGGTGTCGGAAAATTTTCCAGTAATTATTAGTATTTGTTTTGGGAGTGAGCTGCGGCATTCTCAGAACTGACCCTTTGACCCCTAAGAGTGAGTGGTTTCTTGTTTCTCGTTACAGTATCGCCCTTGAATCAATTGTAAAGGTCACTGTAATGAGGGATATGATCACCGATTTAGGAAGTCCCTCTTTGCAAAATGTCAAAAGAGGAAATGTTAAGAAAACAGTGTGGAGAATGAATGCTTGTGTTAGGGTGTGAAAGGTTAAAGTAAGGGACAACTTTCTTCCTCGCTTATCTTTCTAGGAGAACACCTCGACTCAAAGTCAAGGCGAACAACCGCGCTCCGGTCATCGATTATCGTCTTTGAGCTCAGAAGTGATGCCTGCCTCCCCCGGGCCTTTATCACCAGGCCCCTTGAGTCCAAACCGACAGATGTCAGTCACGTCTGTGACGGCAGATCTGCCATCGGACACACAGAAGTTCCTTCGATTCGCTGGTAAGAAAACTGGGGTTATTGCATGCATGTTTTTGTTGGGTCTATATTTCTAGAAAGGGGGAGCATTTGCACTTTTTTATACCTTGGTAGAAGAAGATGAAAATAGTCTTTAAAGTATACGTAGAGGTCTGAACATTATCTTTCAGTTTTTTGCACAAGCTTCTCAAACGGTAAAGGGGAAAGGTCGTTAATCTCGTGGAAAAAAAAGAGACGCATGGCCCTAAAATAAGCGAAGAATTCTTTCGAAAGCTTGAACGTTTGTTATTGTTTTACAGAAAAGCACCGTACTGTATTGAACCAAATCCTACGTCAATCCACTGTTCACCTGGCTGATGGTCCGTTCGCGGTGTTAGTTGATCATACACGAGTGCTCGACTTTGACGTCAAACGTCGTTTCTTCCGTCAAGAGCTCGAACGACTCGACGAAGGAATCCGACGAGACGACCTTACGATCCACGTCCGACGCGAACACGTGTTCGAAGACTCGTACCGAGAGCTCCACCGGCGAAGCGCAGAGGAGATGAAGAGCCGACTGTATGTCGTGTTCGAAGGCGAAGAGGGACAAGATGCCGGAGGACTTCTGAGAGAATGGTTCGTGATCATGTCCCGGGAGATGTTCAACCCTAATTATGCCCTCTTCACCACCTCCCCAGGGGACAGAGTAACGTATCAACCCAACGCAAGCTCCAACTGTAACTCCAACCACCTGAGTTACTTTAAATTCGTCGGCAGGATCGTGGCGAAGGCGATTTACGACAACAAGCTGTTGGATTGTTTCTTCACGCGCTCCTTTTACAAGCACATCCTGGACAAAGCTGTGCACTTCACGGACTTGGAGTCGTTCGACTACGCTTTGTATCAGGGTCTGCATTACTTGTTGGAACACGACATCAGTGATATCGACATGGAACTCACGTTTAGCACTGAGGTAACACTCGTATTATAGAGTGCTTTTTAAAGCAATTTTTAGAACTAAATCCTATTTGATCACAACGTCCAATCAGAAAACAGGTTAACGTCACAACAAGCCAACGAGAACTGTTAAGATGGTTAACCGGTCTGAAGCGAGGGAAAACCCCAGGGATTAGGTAGCAAATGTTTTACCTTTGCATCTGATTGGTTCAGAGAATGGTGCGAGTTTTCTGAACCAATTACGAAGCGAAGTGACTAAGTGGTGTACCTTTGCATCTGATTGGTTCAGAGGATGGTGCGAGTTTTCTGAACCAATTACGAAGCGAAGTGACCAAGTGGTGTACCTTTGCATCTGATTGGTTCAGAGGATGGTGCGAGTTTTCTGAACCAATTACGAAGCGAAGTGACCAAGTGGTGTACCTTTGCATCTGATTGGTTCAGAGGATGGTGCGAGTTTTCTGAACCAATTACGAAGCGAAGTGACCAAGTGGTGTACCTTTGCATCTGATTGGTTCAGAGGATGGGGCGAGTTTTCTGAACCAATTACGAAGCGAAGTGACCAAGTGGTGTACCTTTGCATCTGATTGGTTCAGATGATGGTGCGAGTTTTCTGAACCAATTACGAAGCGAAGTGACCAAGTGGTGTACCTTTGCATCTGAATTGTTTAGAATGTGGTGCAAATTTTCTGGAGCAGTCATCAAACGAATCGAAGTAAAACCGATGCAACCCCATATTTCTTTCGACTCGCATTCATAAATTACTTCATAACCTCAATATGTTTTCCAGGTTCACGAATTCGGTTTGTCAGAAGTCCGCGAATTGGTAAAAAATGGCAAGAACATCGCTGTAACGGAAGAAAACAAGAAAGAGTACGTACAAAGAGTGTGCCAGATGAAAATGACCGGAGCAATCAGGAACCAGCTTGACTCCTTTCTGGAAGGTTTTTACGACATCATTCCCAAACGTCTGATTTCCATCTTCGACGAACAGGAACTAGAGTTGTTGATCTCTGGGCTTCCAAACATTGACTTGGATGACTTGAAAGCGAACACTGAATACCACAAATACACGGAGAACTCATTACAGGTACGAAATGTCAAGTACTGACTATCTTGTGCTTGATGTCTCTAAAGTAGAGTTTCATCGTAAAACCTCCGTCTCTGTAACCCCCTTGAAAGGAGACACTTTCTGATCCTGAGTGAGTCCCCTTAGTGGAGGTTCATTGTACAACCTCAGCATCTCTGACCCTCACTGAATGGACACCTAATTTGGGACACTTTTTCTAGTCTCGAGTCTGACCCCTTTGTCTACGTTCATTGTTTAACTTCTGAGTTTGTGGCTTATACCGATGGGATATCTGATTCCCGGAGTAAAACCTTTGATAACAGATTTCTTCGATACTCTGTCGCAGATCCAATGGTTTTGGAGAGCCTTGCGTTCTTTTGATCAGGCGGACCGAGCAAAATTCCTTCAGTTTGTCACAGGGACAAGCAAAGTTCCTTTACAGGGATTTGGTGCCTTGGAGGGGATGAATGGATTCCAAAAGTTCCAGATTCATCGCGACGATCGGTCCACGGACAGGTTGCCCTCTGCGCACACATGGTGAGCTTTTTTTCCGTTCCATTTTCTATGACAGTGTATTTCAGGAGAAGGTATTGTTCTATGCTGCCGTTAGTAGCAGCGAACGATAAGAATTCTGTAGAGGTTGTTGTCGATGTTTCGTAGATGTAATAATACAAAAACATAAATGTTGTATACTTCCAGTAGGTTGACTGTATTTTTCCGTTCTATACGGAACACTGTACACACATTGTACGGTTAGTTTTAGCCTGCAGTACAGGTGTCTTGTAAGGAAGGGCAAGATACTGTGGCGATTTCGCGATTGTTCACTAAGACAACACGTCGTAAGGATAGGTGGATCGATAGGGGAGGGGCGGGTAAATACTTATTCTTGCCCCCTCCCTTCTCCCCTTCTCAGACCTGTTTTTCATCTTCCCCCTTCCCTCTTCCCCGAAAGGAAAAAAAATCCCTTATTAAAGATTTTATGGTGGTTGTTGATTGTTTATCTCAGCTTTAACCAGCTGGATCTCCCAGCTTATGAGACGTACGACAAGCTACGGTCCATGCTCAACAAGGCGGTAGACGAGTGCCCTGAAGGATTTGGTTTGGCGTAAAACGTACACAAACAGCAGACTTAAAGGCTGAGATTTTGAAACATGAACAGGACGATACACTGTCGAGTTAGGGTTGAGTGTTGCACCTTGAGTCGGTGGACTTGAAGTGAAAACTATACCGAACATTGAATTCTGCGGACAAGAAGAGGAAAAAAGACAAATCTAAAGTATTGGAGGTGTTTAAGAATGAATCACTGGATCGTTTACGGCCTTCATGTGGGAAGTATTGTACAGGGATGATTTTTCCTCTCTTCGGGCGAAGAAGAATTTTATAATTTCCCTTTGAAGCAGTGCGTGACAAGAGTATTGAAGCAGAAGGTTGTTGTTACGCAAGAATATTTCGTCTTAAGACGACGCGTACACCAAGAACTACATGCGTTGATATACAAAGAACTTTGATACTTACTGATGTAGTCTGCTTGGCGATAAAATATTGCTTTTCTTTTCGTATCTAAATGGTAAAGAGATGAGAACACAAACTTCTTATTTGGAGTTTGGTGAAACTGTTTAAGGCTTTATCTGAGAGTGCGTGACCGTTATTGGAGTGACAAAGGTGTCACGTAAGAGTCACGTTGAAAAGACATTCTTGAACATTTTGATTGAAATAGTTACCAATCCACGCCAAACTGACGCGTTTATTTAGAAAAGATTTTGAAACAATAAAGCGGTTTCTATTTCCAAGTTAGCTATCGATTATTCTTTCCTAATTCTGTGATATTTCTCCTGAACTATGCCTGTTGCAAATTGCTGTAAAGGCGGAGAATTTTGCCATCATTTCTTGAACGAAAACTGAAACAGAAATCCTTTAGCTTTTGCGACATTTCAGCTATTTCTGTTATTGAACTCGTTCGGAGATTTTGATATAAGATAAAATTGCTTTTTCTCTGGTGATTACGTCCTAGATTCTCATAACCTTTCATTGTGAGCTTTATATTAATTCTCTGACTCCTAAGAATGACGTGCATCCTAAGTATCCTTCGATTATCACCCCTGAATCACACATTAAGGTTACAGGAATAAAAGAAATGATCAACTTCTAAAGAAGCTCTTGATTGTTGAACAAATCCTCCTTGCAAGCACCTTAGCAAATGTACAGAGAACAGTATGGGTTTAATCGGCTGGGAGAATGAGAGATCCATGTTTTCTAAAAATCAAAAATATTGGCCTCAATGTTCGTAAACGAACTAACTAATTACTAGGTATCTTTTCAGTCGAATAGATGTAGTTTTTTGGGTTGAGAATATTTACAAGCGTTTGCCAGGTTGATTGTATAGCCCTCATCGTGAATTATGCAGGTGTCTTCGATATTGGCAATGTCTGTGTAGGTACGTATTGTCTGAATGGGAGGACCGGACGGGAAATTATTTGCCCAAAGTCTTGTTTACTCTTGATGCTGTACTTCATGACCTTGAGCGAAATATTTTCTCGTGTGGCCAGACTTCACTTAGTCGAGGAGCATTTTATCGTATGGCCGTGTCTTTCTCTTTACTTCTTTTTCCTCGTGGTGCCGTAGACAGGTCCGTGGTACCGTTTTCTGGCCCTACCAGCGCCATCGCGTGTGAGCTTCGGAAAAAAAAAATCCGCCGGACGCCGAACGATTCGTATGATAAAGATGTTTTATGTGGAAGTGGATATTGTTATCCATTAAGGTTATGGGCTCGATATGAGAAAATGTCCTGAAACACAAATGAGATCCATAATTTCACCAAAGAAAATTGTCTCGTAACAAATTTCAGATCGAACACGCTAATTGCTTTAAAACATTTATTTGCTTCCAAGTGCTAATTTCGAACTTGAATGAAAGATGGTAATCGTTTGGCAGGTTCTTTCAATTATAATTTCAAGAGACACTAGCGATATATTAAACCAACCTTTTTCGTTTTAGTCGTTGTGTTGTCAACTACGATCATTAAATGTTTTATTTTCGCAACTTTTCCTTTTTAGTGTTGTACGTAATATCGATTGCGCAAAATTGTTCTTTAAATTTTGTCGTTCAAATTTGGGTCAAGCTGGCCACAACGTCGGATATATTTTTCATTCAGTTTTAAATTTGTTTCTTTTCCACCCTCACAATTTCTGAATACATCATGACTGAAATTTCTGTCAATTGTTGCATAAATTACGTCAACGCAATATTGGCACGGACATTTTTTTTATTAAACCTCTCCAATATCTTCAGCATGTTGGTTAAATAACTTCCTTATTATTTAAGATCCAAAGAAAAAGTTTATTTTCGGAACCCAACGGAGTTTTTTTCAATTTTTTTTTTACCTCTGGGGGCATTTAGCTTCACAAACGATTTACATTAGCGTTACGATCTCGCAAACAAATGGGTTATTTGTTTACTACCTGCCGTTCGCAAAAACTCTACTTATTAAAGTCCTTAGAAAAAAATTCAGAACCTTGACCATGCGATTTTTGTTGGATCACAATCGCAGCGCCGAGGGCTTCCATAAACTCTAAACCATTTCAAACATCAATTTCACCTGTCACTTACACGACAGCCCGAAATAAATCAAATGAATAATTGATAACTTTTCGAGGGCTTTCCCATGGAAACGGCTTGGCAGATGTTGTAGTATCAAATGATAATGGTAGCTTAACCATGGCTAGCCATGAAACCTTTGTACCGTTACAGCAAGAACCTAAATTCAGAGTCCGGCGACCGAGCCTCAGATCGAGAACAGACGATGGAACACATGATCGGAAAAAAGAAGATCTGCTGGCGCTGCCACCCGTTCGAGGTAAGCGGCCTTTTCGTGTTTAGTGTTTATTTTTACGCTTGTAAAGCTGACCTGACTTCTTTGCGTATTTACACCGGATTCAACCTTTTGCTATAAACTTATATTCTTTGTTATAAAGCGCATTTTTAATGCGAAAGCCGCTTGAAATATTGTTTTCTTTGCGAACTTTAAGCATTCATTTTGCGACAAAAAACTTGATAAAGTATGTAACTGACTTGTAATTTTCTTCAATCGCCGATAAGGCGATAACATATATTTCGTTCCAGGAATCGCTAAAATTGAATTGTTTATTTCTATTTTTTTAACGGACAATTTTATTTATATATATATACATATTTTTTTTCACGGCTGCATTTCTTCCATCAGTTACTAACTACTAGCAAGCAGTTACATAAATCATTAACATATTCTCGAGTAAGAGTGTGTAAAATAGTGCCTCGTTGTGCATATTAACTACGGTAGAGGAAATTCGAAAAATTAAAGTTATCTCATTAGGAAGGTGAAAGGTACTCAAATAATTGCTGTCACTGTTAAAAAAGATATTGGCATTATAATTTATTATGAAGCAAATGTACACCTCATAGATCTATGCATTTCCGAATTTCCGTCAGAGATATTTTAACTTCTTATTGCTCAAATCTTTTGGCGTTCTTGGATTTCCTGGATTCCGTTTTGCTCAAAATTTGACAGAAAAAGTTTACGAATTTTCTGAAAATCCATTATCGCAACTTGCGTGTTTGCTTTAATAATACGAAACCCAAATTTGGAAGCAATGGCAGGGCAGCTTTCAAAGGTAATTTTGAATCCCAAATACATTCTGTTGTTATGTAAAAGATGAAAGTATATTTGCTTTGTTGAATCAACTTCTAAATGTACTTTTTCAGAAATTCGACTCCCTCATTTTGTACAAATCTTTTTTGAATTCAAAAGGCGTCCTGTTTAATCAGCTTGTGAAAAATTTTGGTCGATGCTGTACGGCTTCTCGCTGCATGACAACTGTGCAGTGCTTTGACTTATTTGTATATATATAAATCGTTAGTTTTATTTCGTTGCTTTGATATTCCAGATTGTTATTGATTCCATACCTTTCTACGGATGTTTCTCAGTCGGGTAGATTTGCTTGTTTTTGTTTCTGAGATCATTCTGTTGTATTTTTATGAATAATTTTTCGCCCACTCTAAAACATATATAATAAAAGGCCTCTGAAAGCAAAAGTAAAATCATTTAAAAAATCGCGCTTTTCATTTCGACTCACTTTTTCATGACGTCAATCCTTTGCACCCTAACAGGAACCATTATGATGATAGGCTTCTGACCCTAGCATCAGTATGTATATTCTCCATACTTTCTCTACACATTTCTTAAGGTTCTGCACAGGAGAATTTGTTCAACAATTGAAAGCTTCTTTAGTCGTTGATCATTTCCCTTATTCTCATGACCTTACTGTTTTATTCTGGGTAATCTTGTAAGGAGAAATTAGGTGCCAGTCACTCTTAGGGGTTAGAGGGCTAAAAAAGTCTCCTCAGGTGAGACTTTCAGTCCTTCGATTATAATACTTATTATATCCATTTTGAAACTGACTGGTGATCAGTACGATCTGGTTGGCTCTCAGCGGTGTAATTTATTCACGAATCGCACTATTTTTTAGCTCTAAATCACATGTTGATGCGTTTTTTTAAGATAAAGCATTGATAATTGGTTGTAACTCTCAAGGTAAAGGAGATTTTGACGAGTACAGGGTGGAGCCCGTCAATGATGACTTTGTTTTGAAGCGTATATTATTTTTCCGAAGCTCTATTATTTAGAAAAAATATTTTTGCACTTGCTCGATTCGGAGAAAGATCTGGAATCGACTTACTTTTCGCGCTAAATTTGGAAGCAGAGCATCGACCAATCAAAGAGACTGCGCGGATTCCGTCATGATACGTCATCACACTAGAATGTTACCCAGACTCCTCAGCTACGAGACAGATTTTGAAGGTTTGAAGAGAAATTCCAGCTTTTTAAAAGCTTTCAATATATTTTGTTTTTCAGCTCTTGCAACAACCAGCCAAGAAAATCAGACAGACGGACTACAAACTCCATTAAACAAATGGCAAATCCATCGCTGTGCTACTCCCAACACCACCCCCTGTCAGGAGGAATTAGTGAACGAGTGGTTACACAGGAATCACATCCAAGTAGTGGACAGGCTTCCTAAAATGGACCCCGTAGTACTGGTAAGGTGATGTATTATTAAGAAAAGCGTTGCATCATCTGTTTACTCAAATCGTAGAGTTTTTCTGTCAGTTTATGATGTGACTGTCGGGATTGGTTTCAACGATGTAGCAAGGAGCGTAAGTGGAAGATAAAGCCATGGTCAGGGAAACGAAATGGATTTGAAAAATGAAAAATAGAATGCATGTCTTAAACGCCGCTTTGCGATAATGTCGCGTTACGTTTCTAGAACACATTTGCCACCCCTTACATTACCTCAAAAGCAGGTTTCAGGGCGTGTAGGCTGAGGGCGCCTTGAATTAGAGGAGATGGCGCCTAGCTCGTTCAAACAACCCACTTAATTCGAGTGTATTTACTCAAGCTTATAAAATCATCGTTCTTTTACATTTTTTCTTTTTTTTCTTTCTTTTTTTTTTTTGCAGACAAGCCGCGGCACAGACGTTTCAAAGTATATCAGTTTCATTCACCCACCACCTTTCAGCCTAAAACTCCTCTCCGGATCAACAGAGGAGCAAAAATATCGCGAAAAGAGGAACAAACTGGTAAGTCATAAGGGTCGTGTTTATTTTCGGGCGGCATTAAATCGTATGGTGGGAGAGACAAACAACAAAAGACTAAAGGAAAATTAAAAAAACAACAACAACGTACGGTTGAAGATGCATAGTTTTAAATTTTAACCATATGGGGTTGTGTTATCTCGTAGGACAATCAACCTGATTAATAGCGGATACGGGGGGAGGGGGGGAGGGGGTATGGATTCCCCTTCCCCTTCCGCCCTCCCCCTCTATTAGATCTGTTGGTATTTGGCCATTTCTCTTACACCAACATTCTTGCAACACAATCGCATGTTACTTCTCAAAATGAAGCATTTAAATTATAATTGTCTTGATTTTTTTATAGCTTATTTTGGCTAGCGTGTTAATTAAAAAAGAGGGAATTATATCTGTGTTTTGTGAGTCAAAGTTTGGACCCTCCTTTCGAATATTGTTGGATCCACCCCAGCTGATGTATATTATTTCTCTAGGCCCAGGCTCCCTTATCAACATCTGGTTCGCCTTGTCCTCGCCTCCTCAGGAGTCAGAGATCTGACAGGGTAAGTGTTAAAACCTGTAAAACAAGTTTGATCTCCTGAGAAAGAAGTTGTAAAAAGAACCTACATAAGTTGTAAATTATTTTTCTCAGAAAAATTCTTGATTGTCAAAAGGCTGCCATGTTGTTAAAATTATTTAAGCTAAATCTTTCCTCTCACGATGTCTTTTTTTATTTTAGGAAACGTTCGCTTTAAATCCTGTCATACGAGTCGGCGGAGGATATCGCAGGCTCAGCTGGAAGGTAAAGGGATTACGTCATTACTAAGTGAAATATTTTTGCGCGTAATTTTTCATCGTCACAAAGTCACGTAGCTTACGAGATAGTTTTCCTCCCTTCTCCACCACCCTTCCTCTGGATAATTTTTTTCCCTTTTCCCTTCTCCCACCCTCCCACTGAATGGTTTTGTCTCCTTCTTCCTCCCCCTTCCCTCTCAATTCCCACCCTCCAGTACTCAAATTTCTAACTCTCGTGGCCCACCTTCTATTTTTTCCTTTTCAGTCCTGAAAATTTGTGTTTCAAGAAGACCACAGTCCATCTTGATACCTTCTCTTATACTAACTTTAAAAAATTTGATTTTAATGGATTTTAGAGAGAAGTGCTCTGAAAAGGAATAAAGCAGTCAATTATTTTCGTGATACAGTAAAAATCGATTGAGTGCTCTAAAATCTAACTAATCAAAACGGCCAATTAGAGAATAGTTAGATATCGCAAGGAGCCTGAGCTATCGAAGACGGGAAAAAGATAAGTTATAATTAGTGTTTGTTAAGGGTGGAGGGTGACAGAGCAAAGGTAACGTAACTACAGACAATTCTCAGTACTCATCTGCAAATTCATGTAAAGCTATTTGCGCGTGGTAGGTTTTGGATGTTCTACCCTCTATTGGACAGTATGACCCAGATGTAGATCCAGTGTACAGTTGCGCCTCATGTCACGCAAACTTGCAAGTGGTAGGGAAGGTCACGAATTCTCGCGGACGAGTTCATTCGATCTTCACTACACCTAAACAATGCCACAAATGCGGGGCTCCCACAACAGACTCTCAAATACTCACGGAAAAAGACTTACATGAAAGTGTTATAGACACCCTACATCGAGGAGATTCAAGGTTTATTGTGGACCATAGACGTTTTAAAAAATCGGGCGTCGAGCAGCCTTCATCAAGAATTAACCCGGAAGATTTGCATTTCAACTCGCCGATGGATTGGAGAGATGACCTGGAATCATTTCGCCTTCACATGAGCAGGCAGAGTCAAACAGAAGACGACTTGGAGACTACAACCCAGCGTTATGAGCGGAATCGCTCGGAATCAGGAAGCAGTAGTGTATTCATGACAGAACCTGGGGCGAACATTGATAATTTAAACGAGCCCCCTGATATACGCCGTGCGTGGGATGATGGAGCTACACGTGCGACGATTTTGAGAGATGATGAGAGTGATAATGGAAAATGGGAAAAAGAAAAAGAAAAAGAAAACGGAGAGAGAAATGGAAAAGAAAACAGGAACTCAGCTACTGATAATGATCTAGACGCTTATAGCGATTTTGAAATGATAGAAGATTATGATCCGAAGTCAGGATTTACAGTAAGACTTCGGAGAAAGCCATTTGGTGGAGCTAGAAAGACAAGTTATTTCATTCGCGGGATTCGAGACGAAGAGGGTTCGAGTGAAAGGTCTCTTGACAAGAGCGGAAAATCACACGAACATGGAAGGAAAAAAGCACACAACAACAAACAAGAAATTCAAACTGACACTCAGATCAACAAGAGTACACCAAATAAAAGAAATAAACAAACCTTAGTCCAGAAGAAAAGAGGGAAAGGTTTTTCACATAACTTGAACGAGAGTGAAAGACGACGGGAGAATGAAACAAATCAAACAGCAAAATACGACGAGAATCCTCATTTGAGGAAAAACTCATCTTCCGGCGAACAACGACGAGATGAAACGAATCAAAGAACCAGACACCATAAGAATCCTCTTTCAAGAACGGATTCGTTCTTCGTCGTTGGCTTGGATCAACGAGACAAAGTGTTTAGCACTACTCCTGTTGCTGAAGAGTTATCGGATGACGAAGATGATAATGATGACGTCATTATTTTCACCAAAACGAGGTTTAGTGAAGATTCCCCGTCAGACCTTGAGTTCAAAGACGACGACGCCTGGAGCCCAGATTCTCCGGGTTCTGGACTTTTCAGACCTAAAATACCATCCCCTGGTAATTTTGGAAATCAGGTAACTGAGCATGCGTAGACGAACTTAGGTTATTGAAACATACATTTACACAAGAGTATATAATCTCTAGAATTATGTTATCTACTGTGTTTTACAAGCGTTTTTTAACTTAACTTTTTCCAGGTATTTAATAATTAAAAGTAAGTGGAAGCAACAGTTCGGTAGAGCGGACTCAAGAGTGCAAAAGGGCAAAACCGAACACTTCTGTCCGGAAATGGTTACATGCGTCCGAAATGGGACAGTACCGTCTTAACTGAAATAAGCTTTAGTGTCCGAATTCGGGGACTACCGCCCGAAAATTGACACATATGTTAAAAATATGACGGTCTCGTCCGGAAATGGACATAAGTGTCAGAAATCGGGCGGTACCGTCCGAAATTTGCCGGAAGTGTCCAAAATTGGACGGTAGCGTCCGAGAATGGACAAAAGTGTCCAAAATTAAACACGGTTGTTTGCGGAACATGCCTGACGGCAACTGCTCGAGACACATGTTAAAGCGTTACGATTAAGTTTGTTTATTTGAGGTTTTGCTTATTTATTTTCCTTAGTATGACGTGGATCGCCCTTCGTCCTGGTCCGTTTCGCCCACGCAGCGTGATGGGTACCTTGCTGACAGTGAGGAGAACGTCGACCTGTCTTCACTGCAGGCTCAGATTCAACAAGCGCGGAATAACGCTATGAAAACAGAACGGAGAAAACACGAGAGCCAAGAAACGAAGCGACGGGAGTCTGGAGAGAAAAATGCAAAAGATGAGCATATTGCAGGTGAGTAGTCAAATTCTCCTTATGTAATATGGAGCGTTTATTGAAGTAAATCTTGGGAGAATTTGGTTTGTTGTCAGCACCATTTGCTCATAGCGATCACTCCTTCTGGATTCATCGTTGCGATCCGTTTTCCTGTAAGCCAAAGAAGTCGATAGAAATATTTTAACTTTCAGTACTTTAAGTACCGGGTTTTTGGTGAGTTTTCGACATTTGTACTAAAGATTATCACAAATTTTTCCTCAAAGTCGTTAATGAGACAGTCTGAAACTAACAGAATAACAAATAACTCATTTGAAACTAACAGAGCATGATTCTGTCAAGAATGCTCCTTAGTTACTCTTAACTCGTTTCTGTTGTCATAGCAACAGAGGATTCTACTTCTCAAAGGCCTCTTGAGAACGACTTCTCCGACAGAGCCCCTTTAAAAAGTACTGAATGGGACAGCGACTGGGACAGTGATTTTAGTCTACATGTCAAACCACTTAGCGACTTAAGTGCGTCGAGTAGTGACGAGTCCCAGTGGGAGCCCAGGAACCAAACGAGACCAGCGAATAACGAAAGTAGAGTCCGAAAGAGATCTGACAAAACCGTGACAAATGCTGCGAGAAGAAAAGAGAGTAAGCCCGGCACTACAGAACAGCGTAAAGGCTCTGAGATTGAAAGAACCTTAGAAGGCAGAACTCGGAGGAGTATCGGTGGAGAGGACTATCCTAGAGAAAGACGAGATAAAAGGCCAACAGTTAAACCCATTCCAAAAATTGGCCAAGGTATTTTTTTTTTAAGTATACAATTCTCCCTTCTTACTCAAACAGATCACCTTTCCTTCTTGTTATGTCTGGAAAAGGCCAACGCCACTAACTTCCGAAATATTTCCAAAGCTCAGAGAGCGAAGTCATGCCTGTAGCTGGGGAAAAAAAATTGCCAAAAAAATTTTCTGTGCAGGAGAAAATTACCTTTCCCGAGTGGCTGCACAGGAAATCTTATAGGGTCTATCTGGGGGATAGATACAAAAAAATATTGATATGAGTCAACGTATGCCACAGAGGGCTTCTCCCGTGCAATCCCAAGGAAAAGCATAATGAAACCTAGCGTGTGTAGGCGCGGAGGGGCTGGGTTGGGCTGGTCCAGGAAAAGCCGTCTGGTCCTGCACTCGGACGGATCTGTTGCATTTCCGCGAAAGTTAGTTCTAATAGTGTGGACTTAAACTTAAAATGAGACAGAATGAAAAAATTAGTTGTGTTTTTCAATGATTTTGGAGTCTCATGTTCAGAGGAAAGAGACAAAACCCGTTTATTGTACAATCGTTTTGGCAGTTGTTCAGCGTACGGCCTTTTGATTTATCTAATGGTATCCTTGTAAGGTTAAACAATTACATCATTTTATTTCCGTTCAGCCTTACAACTCAGTCAAAAAGAACATAATATTATCCACTTAACACATCAGAAATAAAAAATCAATTCCAATTTTACATTTTTTCTTCAAGATTCAGACTCAGATGAGGTTCATTTCCGTCCCAGGCCCCGCGCTTTCCGGGGCGACGACGAATTAAGCGAGAGCGACATGAATTTCTTCAAACAACAGTTCCAAGCCCCTAACTCAAGCAGGGACCATAATAAAGGCATCAGCCAAGAAAGTCCTGTTGGCTGTAAAGGCATTAATTGCTATCGCTGTTCGTCCTTCATCCCTGAGTGCGAAGGCATTTGTTCCATGTGCGGTACTTTATGTCAGCGGTCAGGGGGACCGTGCAAGGCTTGTCGGGATATCTGCGAGAGATGCGGCAAGCCAAGGTACAAGTGTTCATCAGCTGATGAGAGACTAGAAACTAGTGACGAGGAGAGGGAAGGGAAAGAGGAGCACTTTGATGCAGAAGGTATGTCGATCGTGGTTAGTTGTCTGTGGTGGAAATTTCATGAAATCTTACACTAAGTAAAAAAAAGTTCATTCAAAAGCGTTTAATATTCACTTAATTTTCCCTGAGTTATTCCCTGCTAGCAATCGATGAGTGCTTCGTCTGGGATCCTAACATTCTGTAAAAGGACTTTCAGTAAATTACACAAAGCAGCCAAAATGTGCATCTTTTAGCGCCCTGAAATCAGGCTCTGTAAAGGAAGGTCCCTGAATTAGCGGCATTAAAACCTTACCCTGCCTTTTTCCTTTATAACTATAAGCTTCGATGATCAAATAATTTTCAGCTTCCATGGAAAGCAATCTGGCATCACTCTTAATGTTAATATAAACTGTAGGAAATTCATGTACACTAAATGATAGCACTGTTTTTCTCCAGCTACTGAAACTGGACCGGGGATACCAGCACAAAGAACATCACCTTTCAGAGGTAACGAGATGGCAAGTAGCTCTGACACAGGATCGGTTGCCAGATGATAAACTAACTTGGAAGAGTCGAATGTTATGCAGTTTTGCTATGGTTTTCATTCACACACGTGCTGCAATTGTCTAGAAGACTAGCGCCATTCTTTCGAACCAGCCCACAAAACTGATCTTACACCAATCGCGACTTTATCACTCGAGTTTATCTGCGCTTGGAACCGGCTGCATAAATTAAGTTTAAGCTTCCAGTGGGTCACTATAAAATTTTCTTTTGCTTTGATAGGACGTTGCAATTACTTTGATTGTGATTTTAGTGCACACTCTTTTACTCCTTGGTTATTTTGTTGTCATTTTTTTTTAACTTTAAGGTCACATAAATAGTCCCGCATCGGCATCAGCTGAAGAAATGAATAGGGAGGAGAGTTTGATAATGATTGATAAAGAGGTCAGTAACTCAGATAAGGTAGCACATGGATTGCAAATACGTTTTCTTTATACTGAGTGTGATTTTCCGATATAAATGGTGAATCTTTAATAAGCGGACATCCTCGAGACCTTTCCAAGTGTCCGCTTTAGAGAGGTTTGTAAAAATTGCCCAGTCTTTGTTAAAGTTTAATATTCAACGGTTACTCTGTACTGTGAGAAGGTTCCATGTTGCTAAAGAATCTATCCAGAGTTCAAGTTTATTGCCTTTCATTACCAATACCTTTGGTAATAAAGCAGAAACATAACAGCAAAACAGCAACGATAATACGCGCAGCACATTGGATTGATTACATTTAATCGAGTCTTTCAAAGACGTAAACCTATACACTACATTGTCAGTCCATTGTCCGCTTACTAGAGGTTTTTAACAATAGCAGTAAGCCAAATACGATGTATTTTAGTATCTGCGTCCCCTTAATAGAGGTGTCCGTTGAATTGGGCTTCTTTACAGAGGGAAATATAAGGCGTAAATTTCTGAACCCGGCTTCGTGTTCGCTTGATAGAGGGTGTCCGCGTAATTGGGATTCCGCTTAACTCGGGTCCCCTTAATAGAGGTTTCACCATATAATTAAGTGCCACAGTAATATTTCACTGAAATTGTAGAATCTCTCTCTCGGTGCCACTCTCCAATCAGAAGGATGGATCCAGTTTCGTCGAACTATCACAGATACCTTTAAGTTCGCTTACGATGGACCGTCATAGCATAAGAGGGCGGGGAAATGAGGCAGGGGAGGAGGGGGGGGGGTAGGGATAGGTCTGGAAACTGGAACAAATTTTGGCTGGGATCCGAAACGCTGATTTCGTTATTTTTGTTTTAGAGTATCAAAAAGAGCAAAGAGAGAAAAATCAGGTGAGAATTGTTTTTATTGACTTATAAATTGATTTTACGAGATTTTACCCAATCTAAAAATATGTTACACTTGGTTTTTCATTTTTCATTTTCTTGATCTCGCAGAGCGCCTCCTGAAAGAAAGTCGAAAGATCCCAACAGTGTTAAACGAGTGCGAAAGAAACGCTACAGAACTGTTGATGACAAGGATAATGAGATGCCGGAGGAAAAAGAGGTCATTGAGGAAGAGGAAAATGTAAGTGTGCGCTGGTTTCCTGAGCTAAAACCGAAATTTTATTGTAAAATTTAGTCCTGACCAAACTTTATAGTAAATGGTTTTACAAGTTTGTATTGTAACTTATCCTCATCAAAGTGACCAATGGAAGTAAGGTGCTATGGCGTGAAAGTAACTACGCTAAAGCTCAGTCTTCTCTCGTTTTACATTAGGGCGACGATCGTCCACAATCTGCTGAGCCCACTCAAGTGAGTTCGGATGAAGTTATTCCTGCCAAGCCTCAACCCTCTGCATTCGCCGCCAAAGGCACTAAGAAAACTAAGCCATCTAAAAAGATTATCTCGCAGACTGTCGTTTATAAGGAAAAGGAGAAGCCACCAATGTCCATACAAGGATATTCTCCTGAACGCGAAGAGATTAACGAAGACGATTATGTGGTTACAAGCTCCACGCCCCTCGTGGAAACCGTTGAGCCTGGTGAAGACTTGTCAATAGAAAATAATGGCGAGGGAACTGGAGAAGAGATGCAAATGAAAGAGGAAACTGTTGAGGGGGATGGCACTAACGATGACGTAGCTGAGGATGGGAAAGACATTAGTTCGAAGGGCGAAGAAGAACCACGTGCAAATAATGAGGAACTTGAAGAGGAAAAAGAGAAAGAGGAGGAAAAGGAAGAAGAAAAGCAGATAGAAAAAGAAACGAGAACTGCTCCTCCAAAGAGTACGTTGAATTTCTGTAATGACAGTTAGAAGGTAGATCTATCGATAAATTTATCAGTCTATTCGTAAGTCAGTGAGTGCCAGCGAGTAAACCAGCCTGTCAGTCATTCAGTCTGCAAGTCAGTTGACGAGTTAGGCAGTCAGTCAAGGAGTCAGTCACCCAGCGAGCCTCTCAGTCAGTCAGTCAGTCAGTAAGTCAGTCAGGGATTCAGTAAGCCAGGCATTTAATTATTCAAGCAGTCACTTATCTCTGTTTCTTGTTGTTATTTTTCATCCTCAATTCTGAAGACCCGTTTAATACACACTTATACCTGTTTTAGTTCGAGGCGTATCACGTGTAAATGCAGCATTCAAAGAACGAGCGGAGTTGGGTAAAAGACTGCAGAAAGTGTTAAAGTAAGTCATTTACCTCTTATTTGCTTATGAGATCTGACTGTTAATCTCCCTGCTGCCTTTTGTACACAAATTATTTGATTCACATAACTTTTATCCAAGGCTTTTCCCTCAACGCCCCATCATAATTTTCAAGGGAAAATCCATTGAAAAGAGGTTGATAAATTTTGCGGTGCATTACGTCTGGAAATCAGGACGATACATTACTCTTAATTTAAAGCTTTAATGAGTACGGTTACAAATAGTGAACATATGATGTCTCACTGTTAATCGATTGCACTTTTTCTTCTCACTCGAAAAACATTTGTTTTCATCAGGGAAGCTGTCAGTGAAGTCATGGGACAAGCCGATATAAAAACAAGAAAAGGTATGCGTGTGTTACTTTTACCACGCCCACCTTTATTGAGGGAAAGAGACGAAAACTTTGGTCTCGACTGAAAAAAACGCTCCTATAACCTCAGTATCTGTTTGCCCTTCACTGATCTTTTCGATGGACACTTCCTGTTCCCGGAAAAGGTTCCTTTAAACTTGACTTGGATTGAGTTATCAGCAAAAAGCAAACCATTCTTTATCTATCAGTTCATGTGATATGTAGCTCTCATTTTTCAGACTCAACAATTGATTATATCGCGCAGTATCGACTTGTCGACCGAAGTCGCCTGGAAATGTACGGCCGCGCGTTCACACTGGAAGACGAGGACGAGGATGGAATTATATCTTATGAAGTACTGAAAAGTTTTTACGTACACACGGCAAGAAAAAGGGGCGAAAGTGACATTGCTTAAGCTGATTTCATGGAAAGGACTTGAATTAGTATTAACTTTTTGATCATGTCTTGTGGTCGTTCAAAACATGGAACTGCTGAAAACTCGATAACAGTAAAAACGAAAATTACACTTAAAATCGTTTATTTGCAACATTTCTAAGAGTTAAACCAATGAACTTTCGTTGTTTCAGCAAATGATGCTTGCCCTAGAGGGGGTGTCGAGTATTGCAGGGATGTCGAGAAAGCAGCTTTTGTTTGTGTTACAGGTAAGACTTACCATCAGCGAGAAAAAACATCCCATGCTCATTTTCCTTCTCTTTTATTTTCAATCTTAAAAAGAATCAGGGCAGAATGTTTGTAATCTTTCGTTTCTTTATCATAAAAAACCCTAAGGAAAATTCAGTAACGTTAAAAAGTTACAATAAATTATTTTTCATTTCATAATAAACTTTATCATGTGAACGTTCAGGTTGAGATTAACCAAAATTTTAAAAGCATACTGAAAACCTACTCAGGCTGAGAGTCAGTTGAGAACGTCTTTATCTTGCTCATTTTTTTTGTGAGGAGTATAACCGCGAGAGAATCAACAGTTTATATTTTCTTGGTATAACTAAATGCATAGGAAATGTAAAATTGTGGTCTAACAGGAAAATAGACTCAAGTACTTAGGAAAATTTTCTAACATCGACAATGCGTTTTTATTATTGCACGATACAGTGAAGGATTGAAATGTCATGAACGTTTTCAGGCTCAAATCGCCCAAGAAAAAACAAGGAACGTTCAGCCTCAGCCCTAAAATTAGGCATTGATATAAAAAAAAGAGACTGTTTGACTGAATTGTAGAGAAATTTAATATGCATGTCATAGATTCGATCGTATAAATATCTGATGTTTACAAAAGGATTATAAATATAAAACTGGATAATCTGGGGCTGAACGAGTTACGATGAACATCTACTACAGTTTGACTCTTTGTCAATGCACCATTATAAAGGAAACATGTCGTGTTCCTGTGTTATTCAAAAATGCCCCTGATATTCACACGAGAGCTTTCACAAATATCTTCTCTATGAATTATTTATATATACTCTTTTTTAATAAAGATCGGAAATTTGTTTTCGCAGCAGGAATGGCGCTGAAATGTTCGTGATATCTGAATATATTTTAACATATTGTTGCATTAAATTCGATCTTGTTTGGGAATAAAAACTTTCGAAAATTTCGGACACATTTTCTGCGTATGGTGTCGAGTTTCAAACTGTTTTCTGGGTTAAGGGTTTATGGGTTAGAATTTTAGGTGGAAATTACCTCCAAAGTGTATATTACACGAGGATCGTTCAAATCATTCGGAATATCAAACATATGAATTCATCCTTTGTGGGCCATGGATCCAAGTTTATGCTTGACGTCGACAAATTTCCTGGCGCTGTTGATGCTCTCTGTTTCTCAGACTCATTCGTTGATTCCTTGATCGAGCGGTGGAGGTTCTCTATTTTTGTTTCTTGCAAAGATGAAACAGTATTTCTCGTTTTCGACGGTACTGCGCTTGAAGCACGCTCCTGATTCAGCTTAGCGAATTCTTTCTGGCTTTCTAGTAAAGATATCTTTCTGTGTATTCGTTTCAGAATAACTGACGGTTTCCTCTTGCCGAAAAATCGATCTTCCACTTTCAAGCAACCATTTTTCTTGTCGAGGTCTATGCTTTCCATCTAGCAGATTTGATGCGTCAATTCCTTCTCGTCAGTCGAAGTTTGCAATTGTTGGCTTTCCAGCTTTAAATTATCCGATTAAAAGCTTTCGTTTTTTTCCTGTGAATATAATTTGCCACCTTTTTTTTCTTCTCTGGTTGATCAGCTCATTTCTTTAAATTCGAATCTTTTGTGTTTTTCTGTTTGATGTACAGTACAGTAAACACTGTTTCCTCCTCGAAAACAATCGCACAAAACTACGCGTTATTGTTGTGCTCGGTGAAATATCAATTAAGGCTTTGGCAAAGTGCATTGATCCTTTACAACACGTCCGAACAAAAGGGTTAATTGAAGGTGACCGTCTCGTAGCATGGAAGAACAATAACAAAAATCAGCTAACCACGGTAAAATCTATCGCGAGAGAAGTCTAACTGGTCATAGGAACAATTTAGCAGCAATCTATGAATTATTCAGCTCACTTCATGCGGAGAAAATTTGTTTTCTTATAAATCGCCGTTCCCTGTCGCTTATGCGAGGTTAATTCAAAGTTCGCCGCGATCGTTTTGTGAAATAAAGGTAACCATGGCATTTTTAATTGCTTAAGCTCTCTTCAATGATATGTTTTAGCAGCTTTCACAACAGGTGATGAAAAAATTTGCATTTGCCAACAAGTAGGACGAAACACGGTGACAGTCCATTTACACAAAAAACAAAGTGACAGAGAGGTGGTAATTGATTTCGTTCTGTGAATATTTTTTTTGGTCAAAGCACGATGGCCGAATATACCGAAGAAGATGGAAGACAGCGCAGCAGATTTGAAATGAATGCAATATTCTCTCCAGATATTCAGTTCGCAAATTTCTTTTTCATGTGTGTCTTTCCGAAAATGGATCTCATTTTATTAAGTTATTGCTACCATGAACAAAATTCGGGATTGTCAAAATAATTTCCAGTTGTGTTTACATGATTTTCCCTCTTTTTTTGTCTCTTTGCCCTACATTAGGTGCACTCCAGTGGACTATACTATATAGATTCTCCATGTTTACAGAAGCAAATTATCCACTGAATTGCGTGTGTGCGATTATTTGACTGCTGTGTTCCGCTGTGTTGACGCCGCTTAATCCCTCAGCCTCGTTCCCAGGGGTTACTCAGTCAGTTTTCAAAATGGCAGCTGGTCAAGTAACCTGTGATTTTGTGCTTTAATTATTTCAGGTGCTGGAACTCTTCCCAGGCTCGAGGATAACTTTCAAGATGTTTTCAGTGGCTACTGCACTGTGCGAAAAAGTAACCATTCTGGAGTAAGTATATTTCACGTCCTACTGAGAACATGTTTGCAGTAGTCCTTTAGTCATTAAATCCAGCATGGAAAAAACCATCTTCATTGAATTTCTACTATCAGAAACCCGTTATATAAATAGCCTCAAAAAGAAGAAGCTAGATCAATGTTTTTTGCGCCTTCTTGGTTTTTTTTTTATATTACGGGTGCAGTTTCTAGGTTATACCCCCCAACCCCTCCCTTCTCCCTGAAAAAAAAAAACAAAAAAAAGCAATTAGATCTTCCCATAGCCAATAAAATACATTTGATTTGTCCACGTGATGCAGGGACGTGGCCTGGGTGTCATGTAAAGTGAGAATTTGAGCTTGCGAAGTGCTATACACAACTATGATTACTAATTTAATTATTAATTTTTCATTAACTTCATCAAGTGCGTTTGTCAAGCAGCTGGTCGAAGAACTAGACCTGTTTGAATTGGAGTGTAAATTGGACATGTTCAGGGTGAGAGAACGTTGTATCCTGTTTGTTGTTGTGCTATTTGGTTTTTCTGTTCGTCTACTTTACTGATAAAAGCGATCGCCATGGTTGGCCTAACCTCAAGGTCGCCGAGCGGGACAGCATATTAGCTTTCGATACTTTGCCCGCTGTTAGTAGAGAGTTACAGCACACAAAAAGGAACGAATGTTTTGTAATTTACGCCCTTTTAAATTTGTAGTGTCCAGTTCAGTTTCCAAGTTTTTCGCTTTCTGTTTTCAGAATATGTTTTTTGTCACCGGTGATTTCTCTGTAACTTACATCACCGCTGACCAGCTAAGAATTGAACTGAAGGCCGGTGGGCTCAACCAGAATCAGGAGGATCACGTGATAAGGCATATACTTCAGTCCAGCGATACTGGAGAGGTGAGAATCTGTCAATCATTCTCGCGCACGCGAGACTTTAGTAAATTGAGGTTGGACTCCCGAGATGGCTTAACTTAAGGGGTCTGGGTTCGAGCTCTACACGGGTGACTTATGCCCCATTCACACCAAAGCTTAAACATGTTTAAAAGTTGTTTTGTTAAACACAGTTTAATTTTTTTTTTCTTCATAGAAACTATTTAACCGAATATTTTTGACTTGAATGTAGCACATTGGAAATGCAAGTTAGCTAGTACTTGAATCCAATGGAAAATCAAGTTTTTCAGTTCTCTGTTTATAATTTTCATTCAATGAAAACCAGTTTAACAAAACATGTTTTGCTGGTGTGAATGGGGTATTAGTCGTATTCGCGGGGAAGACACTTTATTCTCAGCGTGTCATCCTCCATCCGACATGGTAAATAGAAAGCAGAAAACTATTGCAAAAACTTCACTAGCTGTTCCAAAGTGAAGGGGTGGGGGGAGGGAGGAAGGGAAAGAGAGAATGAAATCACGTTCAGGGGGAGATGCAATACTCGCGTGTGCTTCATGCTTTGGAAACTAGAATAGGCTACAGCACTGACGGCAGAAATCTCTTTTTCTACTCTTAAACTGTTCGGATTTTCGTGACTCAGCTTTTGTTGTTTTCTCCTGAGATGTAAATTACAACGTCTGGTTTTGCGCAGCCATTTTGCTTTACGTACATTGCTAACGCATTTTTTATCTCACACGTTTGGTTATTTTTATGAACAACGACAGCATTCATATCCTTGCAAGCAATCCATTTTCAAAGTGTTGTGATGTCAAATTTATTATAGTTATTAAAGAGCTTTTAGTTTAGAAGAGGACTTTTGGATCGATTACATTATTTCGTGACATCCTATAATCCTTGAGCAAAGTGAATTTGTTATCTTCATTCTTACGTGTACTTTCGTTTCTTCCAGATTTCGTTTCTGGATTATATGGCGTATCTACCACTTTTCCTGTCCATCCACCAAAATATCTGTGACAACGCCCTTGATATGTCACGCAACAAGTATCAACGTAACAGTACAACATGACAACAAGTTACACTAATGGAGGATGCATTGTGACATCCACTTAAACATTTGTGACAGCGCTCTCGACATGTCACGTGATAACGTAATGAAACTGTGTGACATCAAGTAACGCTACGGATATACTCTTGTCATGTCATGTCATGCAACAAGAATCGACTTGACTTTAAGTGCACCTGACTTAAGAGAGATACATCACGGCAGAATTAAAGCGAATTTGACATTTTCCGCAAGTCTTCAATAAATTTAACGGGGAAACAAACACTTTGTTAAGCATGTGTTGTCAGGAGCTACGAAGACATAAACTGAGATTATTGTCGACAATAATATAAAATAACAATAAAGTAACTTTGGTTAGAAATACAACTACATCTCATTCTAAGAGTACGTGTGATATTTGAGTCACAAAGCGTGAGGGAAGAGTCTTGGAGACTTTCCTTTAACGTTCTGCTCGCCCTCCCCTCGCAATCTCTTAGCGCCCTCCTCGCATGAAAAAAACAAAAAATCCCCCCCTCTGTATAGGCTTGTCTGATGTAGGGCTAAATCATTATTATCAACGTAGAGTATTGCTCGTCTACGTGTTAAAAATATTCAACCACCATTGCCCCTCCCTCCCACAAGTCAAGGAAGTGTGGGGTGCACCTAAGAACGTGACGAGGGAGGGGGAGGGTGGCAAAGCTTTCTTATCAACTTTTACACTGGTAGGGGGGAAAGGGGTCCCAATGCCAGGGGGGTTGCTTGAGCAATAATTCAATACGATTCTTTGCGAGAACTATTACAATTGTTTTTCCAACCTTCTCTCTCGTTCCATGATTATTTTAATAATACTAAGAGGAAATAAAAGAAAATTAACTCGTAAAATTCTTCCTTAGCTCTGGTACATGTCCTATGATGATAAATTTACAATCGGATGCAGCATTTTTTCTTTAATATACATACACGCATACATAAACTTTTTTTAGTCTCGAATTTAGAGAGTAGCACCCAGATGCTAATATATTTAAGCTAACTATATTGAACTAATCATGATGACGAGTTAATTCTATATAACAAAAAATATATCTAGCCAACTCAACAACTAACTTGTTAAAATTAACTTAGTATACTTAAGACTACAATACAAGATTAAAATTCCACTCATTTGTTTCCATCAAAATTTTAAATAAATAACTTTATTAGAACTTTGTACTGATTAGAGCAGTTGACACAACTAAAAAACTTGGCAGTAGTCGCAGTGTGTCGCACTGGTGTGAGGACAACTCTTTGAGCTCTACTTTCAATAGTTCGAGTTCAAATCTTTCATTTTTAATTTTTTTCATCGATGCCATATTTTTCTTTTGAAATCATCTTTACAATTTCATGGCAGAATCCTGCCAAGAGACGCTAAAATTTTTGGACTACCTTTGGAGAATGTTCAACTTACACACAGAGAACATGTTTTAGACACTGGAACAAAACTATCTTCATTGAATGTCTACCATCAGAAACCTGTTGTGTAAATAGCTCCAGAACGTAGAAGCTTTATCACTGGTTTTGCGCCTTGTTAGTTTTTTTTTTAATACTGTAATTTTTTTATTATTTTAAAAAGTTGCCACGTGAGATTATTTGAATATGTTTCGGGTTTGATTTGCATATTAAAAATGCGTGCAAACAAAAATTGCGCCAAGTCTATTACATATTACTCAGTGATAGGTTTGTTGTTTTCTAATCCATATTCATGTGTAACTGTAGAATGTGCCTCAAACCAAACAGGTCGTAGACGGGTGAGGACGTGTTACTGTGTAGGGAAAGTTTAACCAAGGGCGTACTTGACGTGCCAATGGCTAGGAGCTGGGGACATAACTGAACGTTATTTCAACCGAAGGTGAGTTTCGTTTTTCGTCTGGAAATTTTTGTTGTAACTTCATTCCCATAACTGCTGGCGAATCATCAAACCAAACTTTCTGACACGTGTGCACTCGTTCAGCGCTTTAGGTGTTGTCTTCGAATAAGTTTTGTTTTCTTTATTTTGTTCGGAATTTGGAACCTTGAACTTCTTAGATGTGTTCTTAAACCAATGCTGTATAACTGGTATTTTGAGAGACAAAAATCCAAATAAATCACGTTTCGAAACAGCAAAAGAAGAAGCTGATTGCTTGCATAAAATTTAAATTCATTACAAAAAAGCCACGTGCGTTTGAGTTTTGAAGGAATGGCTATTTATAACGCGAAGGGGTATTGTGGCAGTTACGCTTTGCAAAAAGCCTTGTTAAAAATTTACTCATAGACAAATAGATTTTGTTTTGCCATAAGAACTTTTTTTTTTTTGTATCTCTTATTTTACTCTGAACTCCGTGGTATGTATACTTGAAATTTGAAAGTTGGCCAACCGACTTAAATGTTGTTTTGCTTATTTCTGGTTACAGGAAAACATGAGATTAAAGAAAAGGAAGGAAGAAAAAGAACTCAGGAGGACAAACAGGAACATAATAGAGAAGAAACTCGGCAAAGATAAGAATTTATAAATCTTCAATATTGTTGTAATGTTATTTAAATGGTACTGATATTGCAGAGTTACCGAAAGGTCAAGTCTTGGGTGATCATTCGATTCAAAAGATTTAGCCACAGAATATTTCGGAATTGTTTTAGTTATACCATACCGCGCTCAGTGTTTGGTCGAGAAAACTCGCCCGACGCTCGCATTCAATCAAATTCAGATCTAAAACTGACCAAGCGGGACTTGGTCATTAACGTTCTCTCGCGTTTCTGGAGGTTGTGTCTCGAGAAAAGTTGATGGATACAGAAATCTTTTTTATTGAGAATTTCTTCCCACCAACTTTACACAATTGAATTTGGCATGACTCAGCTTGCTCAAGCTTTGACCTTCATGTAGGCTGTAGTGATTGGTACCATTGTCAAGTCTTGACGACTAAAAAGGGTTAAGTTACTATGGTGGATTTTTTAAGGTGGCACTGAAAGACAAACGTCAATCCAAAAAACTCTGAATATAGAGACGAGCATAGATTTCCGGCCCTGGTGAATCGCAAACAGCGAGGAAGTGGAAGCCATTTGTCAAAAACGTTTCGGCTTTGGTTGGAAAATTATCCACACCAACAACGAAGAAACCAAATTGATTTACAAATGCTCTATAAATAAATATTTTGGCCTTTGTTACCAAAGAAACAGTTTGCTTTAACTTGCTTCTTTATTTGTTGGAAAATAAGGATTCCTGAACGAGGTTATTTTGGGTAATATTTTGTCAAAAAAATTGTCTGTGCCACCTTGAAAGATTCACTTAAATTTCATTTCTGACTATTTATCCGTCTTGCAATGGACAAGAGAACATTAGAAACCAAAACCTATTATTGGTATAAAAAAAATGTTAAATTTCTTTTCATTTTCGTAAAAGAATAGCCATCTGCGTACGACTTATTTAGAAACGGCAACACTTCGGTTACGCTACATAGACAATACATTACCGCTGGATACAATGGTTAAATTAACGCGCTCCATATCCACGTATACGAACGAAATACCGACACAATTTATCAAAGGGGTTGAAGACCTCAACTACATTTAAAACAACAACGAATGGCAGTTAACAGATAATTACGAATACAGACAGATTTTCTGAACGAATCGTTGTACAGCTCGACCTCACCAAGACGAACGTAACTGTAGTTTACAACGCACTTGACAATTTAGACCTTGAATCGTTTGCTTTTTTTTCCTATCATTTAAATCACAATAGACGCTATTCTTATTCAATGACATGTAAATGAGTTGCGGGGTATTCTGAAGTTGCTCCGCTTTTTTTCCTATAAAATCTCGACTTGTTAAAACAAAACAATCACTCAGAAATCTAGAGCAATTTTTTTAGTATATAACTTTATATTTACAACACTTGCTGATCAACGTTTAAGACAGAGACGAACCTGACCGAACACAAACGATAACGTGAAATGTCAGTGTCAACAAACAACCACACCGGGACTTTTCTCTTTGTTTAATATAAAACATCTTCAATACATGTCAAAAAGTGACTCACTATAAGCTGGCGCTGACTTCTGGTTAGAACGAGCAGGTTCATGAACGGCTAGGTGCCATCAAAAACGGGCCCCACAAGTTACCATCAACAAATTAATTTCACCTCAGATCAAAATTGACCAATCCCCAATCGCAACTGACGAAGGCTATTCAACACATTTGACTTGTACTCGACTTGTTTAACCGAACCATTGACTGTAGAATAGTTTTTAATGAAATTAATTTGATCTTTTTGTAAAATGTTTGCGGAAACCCCAGTTGCCAACGTTCTCTTGTCCTCATGCAAGTTTTGGGAAAACCTATGACTGGCTCTAGAGACTTTAAGAAATTTTCGTAAGGCGGTTTTGATTCATTTTATGGTTATAGAAACCAAAAATTGACCATTTAATCATAGAACTTTTGATTTATTGTGCAAAGCCTATGATTAAAGAACACAGAAAACGCAATTTTGCTTGGAAGATTTAGATCTTAAGTGCGTCCTTTTTTTCCTTTTTTAACGACCAGATTGATCTACGAAAGCTGCAATGATCTGATCTTTAATTTCACAAATAACTCAGCAGATGAAACATTTAAAAATGTTGACTGTCACATTTTACCAAGACAAAGTGTAATTCGTGTTGAGCTTAGGCTGTTTTGTGAAAGTTTCGAGCAAATGAAAAGTAATTCACGAAATAAGTTTGGGTCTGAAATCAGCTGAAAACTTGGAACTTAGAAGGATCTCATTATCTGTTTCGGAAAAATACATTCTTCACGGTGCATATAAATTGTTCATCTGCCTCAGACAATTCCTCAGTAGGTTATCTCAAATTACAATTGGAAGTGAACTTATTAGCCTCTTAACTTCGGTCTTAGTGCATCGGAAGTTTACTTTACTAATGGGGAAAAAATTGAAGAATGCCAAGATTGTTTAAAGAGTTTGGTCTGTATAACCAGTTGCAAGGTTATTACTTTGTTGTTTTCTTTTTTTTTGAGTAACATTGGACTTAAAATATTAAAACTTTGATATTTTCTCTGAGCCAGTCAATAGGTTTTATCTTTGTATTTAATTCGTAAAGTAGAAAGACGTTTTTCAGCCATCGATTGATGTAACACAGGACTGTAAGGAATCTTTTGGAAATTTAAATTTATCGGTGAATAGTGAAACTCGATTCGGCTATATTTGTCTCAATA